AGTTTTAATTATACAAAATAAAACTGTTCTAGTCATTTAAAACCTGGCAGAGAAAAAGGAAAGTCCCTCATTTGTAAAGTATTCATTCTATTTATGAGGATAGGCACTCTTCGATTTTAAAAAAAACTGATTTTTGTTGTATGATTTCGATTTTCAATTTTTAGTCTTGACCATGTGCCTGCCTTTGATAATTTTATAAAATAATCAATTACGAGGCAGTAATATTAGATTTCGTTTTTATTAATGATTCGAAAAGGATATAATGATAAGTGAAGATGATGCTGTTTTTAAAAATTTCACTAATAACTTAGATTACAAAACACACAAAATAAGAATATTAATAAAATGTTACATAATGAAATGTTAAGTCAAAAAATAAACTTGTGTGATTTCAGTCAAAAAATACTCCAATTATACTAAATTAAATAGCGTTTCGATTTGCAATTGGGAGGGGAAAACAAGATACGCCATTAAATTTGTGCTGAAAAAAAGAAAAGAATATTGAAATGAAAATTAATATGTTCATGTGATTCTTAAAAATATAAAATCTCTTAACAGGTGCGATTCGCAAGTCGGTAGAATCGGTGGCAAACAGCAAATAAATTTAGGTGGCCGCTGTTGGTTTTTAGGGACAGTTATTCACGAATTAGGACATGCCCTTGGATTCTACCACGAACATAACAGATCAGACAGAGATGATTATTTAATCGTTTACAAAGAAAACGTACGAGAAGGTGAGTGCTTCATCACTTGCTTAATCTCTTCTCTGTCGAATTTCAGATCCAAAAGTGCATTCTTTTATTGCTAAAAATTAATATATGTTCTATCCTAAATTCGAAAAAGACAAATAATTTTGTTAGAAAGTATATTTTTGCTTGACCAATTAGTGGTGAAATATGTGATGTCTCATCCACTGATTTTCAGTTTTCTCTGCTACGCACTCAAGTTTTATATTGAAAAAATACACTGGGATAACATCTTTANGTATATTTTTGCTTGACCAATTAGTGGTGAAATATGTGATGTCTCATCCACTGATTTCCAGTTTTCCCTGCTACGCACTCAAGTTTTATATTGAAAAAATACACTGGGATAACATCTTTAGAACTCTGTTGTTGTAAGGTGTTTAAGATAAATATCTGATTACAAAAGTAAGGTAAAAATATTTTGGAAAATAATTTTCCAAACTCACCGTTTAAACAGCTTCACAATCAGTCTTAGGCGTCAGAGCGCAAAAACCGCGTTTATCACAAAACTGAAATAATTTATTGCAGTTAATATGCAACGGTAACACTACTGAAAGCAAAATTGCAGAAAGTACGAAATGATTCTGATTTCAGTGCAAGGCGGGAAATCTCACTGCAAAAATTGGGAAGAAACTGCTACTAGTTGCGCCATCTACTAACAATATTTAGAAATATAAAAAATCTCCCGGTTTAAAGAGACGTATAAGTAGCGACGAATTCAATTTGAATGATGCTATTTTTCTCTTCGTTGCATAGGATACAATGCTGACTATATGGCCAAAAAAACGTCGAACTTATGAAATAAGACGCCAACAGAGAAAGAGTTAAAATTGTTTATGCATAATAGAACTTACTTCATCTTGTATTTGCCTGGGATCTGTGACAGTTGCTTATATTAATGATAGATGAAATATGTGCAAGTGATATTTTTAATTAAGAGTGAAATTTGCCAAACTTATATTTCCTTATTCAAATGAAACTAAATTCTAGAAATAGGCTTTAATTTTTTTAAAAAATAATCTGTTAGTATTTAATTTTAAGTACATAAAATAATTACTCGATGTATTTTTTGATTACATTGAACATTATCTACGCACATATAATAGTCCAGCGTAATCCCGGAAAAAGGCGCTGAGTTTAATTCTCTCTGTCGTTGAAAAGAAGTTTAAATAACTCATATGTGAGAAAAAGAAATATGAGTCAAAATTGCGTGAGAGAGAGAGAGTTGGATGGCTGCCGGCAGCATTCGATCCTAGGACCTCCGAGTCAGTGGTACATGCTGTGATCACCATAGTTGGACACACCAGTCCAGAGGGAGTATAAAGCTTTATATAGTGATCACCTTAATGATATATCATGAGATACATTAAGCTCACTGAAAAAGATTTTATGATACAGCGAATTATGTAAAACTAAGCCAATGGGACCATATTTTCCAAATTACAACCTTTGTTTCTTGAAATTTGAAATTAGTATGGAATGATGTGTCCTTGAGTCTTTATAAAGATTCCAAACTCTGTCTGGTCTGGGATATACAACTTTGATGGCTGGACTATCCCACTACGAACACGGAGGTCATTTATTCGAATCCTGTCTGCTGCAAACAGGCATCTTTCTCACACATTTTGCCCTTCACACACATTTCGCTTTGCATTATATGCTGTTTGAACTTGTGGTTTGTAAATTTGACTATGTGGTTTGAATATGTGGTTTGTAAATTTGACTATGTGGTTTGAATGGATGGTTTGTAAATTTGACTATGTGAGTTGAATATGTGGTTTGTGAATTTGACTACTAATTGTTTCGGAGTTATTTTGTCACATTTTTGCTCAATTTCGAGAAATTGTTACAGTGAGAAATGAATTAAAGAGGTTTAAGCATCAAATCATGAGGCGACAAAATAATCCAGTACTTCGTATCTTTTATTTCCCATTCGGCAATATGAGACACATTTTTCGTTGTTAAAATTAATTAAAAAATTTCGAAAAATTGCGTAAAAATGTATTCTATTTTACAACCAAACAACAAGCTATAAAATACAGATAATTGAAAAATGTATACTCATAGAAAAAAAATAAGCGCAACACATTGTTTTGTTAATTTCTAATCTTGATTTTAATACTCAAACTGGCGTTCCATAAAATAATACTAATTTATGCTTTTAAATCTTTTTGTACTGTATAAATAAAAAAAGCAAAATTGTTAACACTAAAACTTAAATACAATTTCGATTGTTAAAAAGAAATCAGACAATTTCATATGATTTATGAGATTCTACCTAGCAATACAAAAGTGGTGTTAACAAACGGGTTGAAGCATTTTAGCGAAATCAATTTAAGATGTTTCTTAATAATTAGGGCTTCTAATATTTTAAAGGGAAGCAGTATTACTATTTCAGTTTAAATAGTTTAAAAAAGCAAGGAATCGCGTTTTTCTTCTTCCTTTTTTTGGGAGGGAGATTTAAACTTTTCAGATTTAAAATTCAGTCTTTTCATTAAGCAAAACAATGATTATATTTGAAGTGTACCTTTTAAGAAAATTATGTTATTTAATCACACTAGCAAATGAAACTTAAAAGAATAACATATAAGACTGATTTTGTGTAATTTTGTTTTTAGTTACTTTCTTCACTTTTAATTTTTCATACTTTCAGTAGTCATAGTTATATAGATATACTTTCATTTACTTTTATATAGTTATACTTCAGTTATATAGATATACTTTCTAAAGCAAATCTCATTAAGGAAATGTTTTTACCACTCAGGTGATGAACACAATTTCAACAAGATTGCTCCACACCAAAATATCTTGTACAACAACTACGACTATGACTCAATTATGCACTATGGTAACGTATCCATGTCCAAAAATTCAAAACAAACCATGGAAGCCATAAATGGACATCCATTGAAAGAACCTTTCGAGAAACCAGGAATGACTGAAAGTGATATCGAAAGAGTCAAGAAAATGTACCACTGTGCTTAGTTTGTATCGAAACAATATTACGATTGTTAACACGATATGATTAATAACTAAATAAACTAATAAACTTAATATGACTAATGAAATAAATTTATCTTCAAAATTTATTTAATTATTATACTGTTTTATTACTTGCCAATTAAGATGCGCATCCATTGTAATCGAAAGTAGAGAAGTCTTACTGATTGCCTCAAACAAACGTTTACTTGATTATAAATATCCTTTTCATCCTAGCGCAAAATAAGGTACTCAAAAATAGTCACATTCTACATAATTAAAGCCTCATAAATTTTGTAATTCTAGTTAAACACACTGAAAACTTATTTTAAAAGAAAATAAAACCTGAGATTTTTTTGAGTTAGATATTTAAAATTTAATTTTTTTTATTTATTATACAGATGGAAGAAATCTGAAGACCAATCGTCGCTGGTACAGGTATATAGCAATCTAAGTTACAGGAGCTAAATTATGGTCATCGAGGTCATTCTTCTACGAGACCATTCTGCTTTTAAGGAGCAAATACACGTTTAAAATTATATTTAACCCCTTCCTTCTCGCTCCTGTGAAAATGACGGGGTGAGGTTTTGCTCGTTATTTCTCGCTCCCGTGAAATTTTCGGGCTGGAGTGTTCAGTAGTAATGCGCCCATAAGAATAAAACTAATTTCTTTTTGCCCGGAAAACATTTTATTTCTCATTTGACACACCAGACTGCAGTGCAAGAATATTAAGGTAATTGTAAATAGTTAGTTTATTTTAAACTAGATACCAGCACTAATCAAATGTGTGTATTTGGCAAAATAGGCACTTTTATGACCATTTTCTTGAAAATTAACCGATCGCTAAGGGGTTAAATAAATAAATGTTTCGAGCTGAATAAGCATCTCCAAAAGAGCTGGAATTTTCACCTACTACAGTTATTGTAATAAATACAGGTGAAGACGTTGAGGGAATTTTCAACAAGTTATAGAAACTACACGTATTACTTCCTATTCTAAATTTTTAGTTTGATGCCTCTGTCGTAGGTAACTGTAAAATGAAGTCCTTGCGAAACTCCAGCCATAATTTTCCTATGCACCAGCCTAATTGGAAAGCCTCAATATTTTCTAATCAGCCTGACGTGAGTAGTAATCAGAAACTTATTGCAGTAAGCTCACATACCTCTTGGTTAATTAGAAAATATATAATTTATGATTGAGTTACTTTGGTTCACTGGTTATCTGATTACTATGGTTCAGTTTATTTCAATTAGTTGAGAGAGTTTAGAACAGAATTCTTATTGTAGGAGAATGCTTAGTTTAAATAGTTTTATTGACCCCTTCCTTCTCGCTCCCGTGATATTGATGGGCTGGAGAGTTCAGTAGTAACGCGCCAATAAGAATAAAACTAATTCATTTCTTTTGTCCGGAAAGCAATTTATTTCTCATTTTACACCTGATGGCAGTACCAGAATATTTTTAAGGTAATTGCAGATAGTTAATTTATTTTAGACTAGTTGCAGCACTAATCAAATACTTAATACAAATACAAAAACCAAAGAAATAGACACTTTTATGATCGTTTTCTTGAAAATTTACCGATCGTTAATGCTTACTACAAAAAGTCTAAGCAGACTCCATTTGATTTAGTATTTTTTCGCACATTTTTAAATGACCTAAAGGCCGATATCTTATAAGCTGATACGAAATAAGTCTAACAATTATCAAAAAGATTTAAACTCACCAACGAGTTTTCAATCAGTTTAGTATATTATAAAACGTAAACGTTTACAAATTAACTTTTTTACTTAGCTTACGACAAACATATTTTTATTACGCATAAAATACGATAAGTTAGGGCATATATGATTTAGGGACTATATCAGAGAATACTTTGTTCCTGACTTAGATATTTTTTATTTATTTTATATCATGCAGTATTTATTTCATTTTATTTATTTTAGATATCATATTTGATAAAAAATATTAATTAAGAAATGTTACGCTGTGTCTTACGGAGAATATCAGTTCTCAGTTTACACAATGCCGATTATAAAGAGTGGGTCAGCATCCAAGGTTTTGTGGCCAAAATTAGTATTTCGATAAAATTTGCATTTAGGGGTTCTTATGTGCAGATGAATTGAATTCAAAGTTGAAATTTTAAAATACACTAAAAATACCCAAAAAAAACAAAATGGCGGCTGAAATATGGCGAGCAAAAATAAAAAATAATAAAATACGTTAAAATAAATAAATATAGCAATGAAAATATAATAATTTTCGTAATTTTGTGTTAAAAATGAAAAGCAAATTATATTTCCGAAGTAATATTACAAAATGACTCGAATAATTAGAAAATAACGCGAAAACATGAAAAAAACATAATTTTTGTTTTTCGGTATATTTAGTCCACCTTTTCAATACGGACAAAATGGGGCAGATTTTTTCGAAAGAAGAAACTTCAAAGAAGACAACAACAAAAAAGTTTAGCTAGTTACCTCGTGGAACTTTTTGGAACTAATTTTCGAAAGTCATTCAAACATTGTAAAATGTTAAATGATAAGATATAAACTGTAAGTTTGTCCAGAGTATTAACTAATCCAACTAATTGAAAAATTGTACTATAATTTAACACTAATTACTCTGATAAAGATGTAACAGTAAGGTGAAATTCTTATATGTATTTCTGAAATAAAAATCTAAAAGTTACACTTAAAAATAATTTTGTTAACATATTTTTCCTTAAATTGTACTCTCGTCTGTCGAAAAAGTAAATTGTAATGTTTGGAATGATTATGAATACTTAATTTGGGATATATTAAAACTGCCTACACATATTTTAGTTGAAAATTATTTTTTTACTTTTGGCCAAAGATCATAGACTTCTGGTCCACTGTGTTATGGCGATAACAATTTCTTTGGTTTTGTATTAATTTGTAAACATTTACATATATATCTACATCACATTTACATTATAACATCGTCATAATACGTTGTGCTAGTTTAGCAGGTAATTGTTTTGGTAATTGTTTTAGTGAAGCAGTAGAATCTTGTAAAATTCTGAAAAAAACATTCATTAAGTAATTAGTGACTGTAAAAGATAATTTCTCTATAATGATACAAGAGAAAATTGTGAAAGTGAAGTTTCTTTTTTCAATTAAGGCTTTCATTTTAATTTGGGTAAGGCCAGACCAGCATCTTCTGAAATTTTAAAGTTTGAGGGAAAGCAAAATTAAAAAATAAAATTTCAAATTCTATTTAAAAGTCCCCAGAAAATTGATTTTAACAAATAAATTATACTATGAACTGAAATGATCTTATGTAAATTTGTAAAGATTATAAAATAAAATAGGAAGATTAATTTCGTAGTCAATTGGATAAGATTTGTTCTAGTACTGGGTCTAGCCAACTTGAAAAATGTAATTTCTGAGAAAGGTGTTCTAGACATACACAGTGGAGTATGAAGGGTTGTTTAAGAACTGAAGCTTGGATTCCTGAGGTATTTTTTATGCCAGTAAAGTTTGAGGTATTAAAGTCCGCTCATGGACGAAAAAATTAGCGCACCAAGCTATGGTGCGCTAATTTTTTTGTCCATGAGCTTTTTTTAATCAAATAAATAATGGCATAATCAATAAATATGGCACTTTTTAATCAAATAAATAAATGCTTGAAATCAAGCAAGTTTTGGCAGAGGGTGCGCTTCTTGTTTTACAGTGGTGCCATCTATGGCCAAGAGTATGATTTTACTATCCACATGCGTTACAATCCGTTTTACAGAGAGGACTCAGTGACACACCTTCAATCCATATCAGTAGATCGTAATTTTGACCTGAATTCTTCTGCAAGAACCCCTCTGCAAGAATATATTGGCAAGAACTATAAAGTTTAAAAATATTAAAAAATATCTGGCAAGCAAAAGCAGGTATAAAATAAATTAAACACCTAAAGAGATAAATTAGAAATAAAAAAACGAGACAATTTTTAGAACAACACAGAGTTGTTGATTCTTTAGAAGATAGTTTTTTGTTTTCGGAATTTGAGGTTTATACTCACCCGATACTGGTTTTTCTATATTTTTGGAAGATTATTATTAACCCGTTACGGGTACTTTAATTTCGTTTCTTTATTTGTTGTTGTGAAATAAATGAGTTTTTTTTATAAAACAAAGAACTGTTTCTTAATATAGCTTGATACGTTACAGTACCAGCAGAGGTATTGCTTTGTCGTGGGAGCTTGGATGACTTTGTGCCCTCGACGGATTTAGCGTGCACCAATCACCATTCCTTTGAATGACTGGATTTGAACTTCCTTTTCTTGCGAACAAGATTCCAACATCCTACCAATTATGCGATCCGGGTCATTTATAACATATTAATATTTGTAAAGGAATTGAGTTGAAGTTGAACTATTAATTTTGTTAGGGGGAAGTGCTATAAAATTTTTAAACAAACACTTAAGCGTTCCATGAATTCACAGTCAATAAATGTACTATCATATCGAGATAACTTGAAAAGGTTTAGACTGTTTAAACAAATAGCTTTCTTGATCAGACCTTTGAGTTCATTTTATCTTTCCTTTCTCTGTTCTTATTTTTCCTTTTTTGCTGCATAATTTTTAATTTGTTTCTTCACAATGGGTGATGCATTTACTAACGCATTGCCGTACATATTCGTTTTATTCTTGTAACTTATTTGCTAATTTTTAATTATTCTGCCGTATATTAAGATAAAAATTTTATTCAACAATCTTATCACCAGTCTGACGGATTGCCCAGCCAAGAATTAAAGTTTTTGCCATTTTTACAAATTTGAGGATTTTAAATTTAAGTTTCAGTCTCAGCTTTTTGAATTTAATTGTAATACTTAAATTATTTCGGTGCAGATTCCGAATTTTTTGGGCGTAATTTTTAAAATTTCCGATTGCAACTATCTGTAAATACGTATATAACGTTCGGTTGCCTTCCTGAAATTGAACCTTCTCTTAGATCGAGGTAGTGGATCGGAGCATATTTGTCCGTAGGCTGCAAGCAGCCCCTAATCTTTTCGGATCATTAGCAGATGAGCCCTGTGCGTTTAAACTTGGGCCTTTTACTCGTTCACAGGCCTTCTTTGTCCATCGATTCAAGTGTGGTGCTCATGATCATGCGAGGCACAGGAGTTTAAGCCGATATCTCCACTTTGGTATTTTCATGCTGGCGTGGGCGTTGTCACGGCGACACGTCAGAAATTTTGCCAATTAGGCTTTATGAACTGAGTGGAGTAAATAATAAATTTAATTATCGAAAGTCAGTCCACTCCCTTTTCTTCTGTTTGTTAGAGCAGAGAAAGGTTACTTTTAGTAGGCCAACTACTTCGTTCAGCATAATTATGTCCCTGCATATGGGACCATTAGAGCTTCAACCTGTGAATTAGACTATGTCATTGCAATGGTTAATGAAGGAGTGTTACATTGTAAACCATTAGTGGTTAGACAATCTTTATTTCTTTTGATTTCACATTTGTCAAAATCGGAGGACAGCACGTGTCAAGGAGCAAGTTTTAGTAAATCATGTTTGCAATAATTTTTCTGGAATAAAAAGCTGTTATAAAATGATGAAAAGAAAAATTAAGTAAACCACAAACGAAACTCGTTTTTTTCTGATAAAATAATTGTCAAGCTCACCAGGTTGAACAACTATATCTGAAATTAGCATAATATTTGAACAATTCAATAAATGAAAACACCAGATAAAAGGTTCATGCACTGGAAGCTCTTAATAGGAAAACACCCCTAAGAGCGCATTTCCCCACAAATGTATATTTGCAATTCTAAAGCCTTATGAAGTTTCCTATTTAGCTTCCGAAACCACTGTGCTGTGTGTGAATCACCTAGATAACCAATTAAATGAATTCTTGAAACAAAATTTTTATTCTCATAATTATCGGGGACAAAAATCCCAAAGGGTCAAAACTCTCACTTGCAGTTTTCAACATATTCCACCTAGCAGCGGTTTTAATTTCTTTCTAATCCACTAATAAATCATTCATTTATTAACATTGACAGGATTTATTATTGGATTACCACTCGATTTTCAGTAAATCTTAAAATTTCGATGACACACGCTTTTCATTTTCAAGCTTTTACAGCTATTGACAGTTTCGATATGCGCCTATGCACTGACAAAAGAAGGGCAAAACTTAGCCTGACGGTTAAGAATAAGGTTTAAAATTAAAACTCATATTTTTCGCTAAAAAGATCTCGCTGAAGTGGTATTATCTGCTAAAAGATTGAAAGATATACTCTACTCGTATTGTTCGCTAAAAGAGGTTTTTCATATAACAAAACCTTAAAGCAGCTTTAACAAAAGAAAAAGATATTTAGGTAAGAAAGAGAACTTTCTGGATCTCATTACCTGTTAGTAAGAGTTCTCAATCCACTAAAATTACAATGAGATTTTTTAACATTTTTCAATGATTTTTATTTTATTTTACCTCCATTGTTAAAATTCTATCTTTGTTTAACTTCGTAGAAGTGTTACTTAAAATCCAGGCGAGAAAGCAAGTTACTTTCTGAACCAAATATTAATATTTTTAAGTTCAAGCAAATTTTAGAGTAGTTAACTACAAATTATATTAATTTGAATTTCCTCATTAATGCAACACAGCCACAATCACCAGAAACAAAAAAGCAGTAAACTTTTAATATTTAATTATTCACATCTTACGAACGAATCATTAATAGCAGAGTTTGGAAACGTGAGTAATTTGCACTGAAGTACAATTATTATAATTATATGATTAAGACTTTAATTTGGATGTTTTTGATGGACTATTTTTGATAATTTAACGTAGTTTTTTCTATTAATCACTCATTTTGTTATGTAAGTCATAAAAAGTAAAATAACAGAGAATGAAACAAATAAAATAACTGGTATAACTTTGGAAATTGCAATGAAATTTATTAATTTTGTCAATTTTTTGAGTCATTTTTACCAGCAATCTGGATGTCAATAAATAATATTATTTTGAGAGTATACCATTTGTTAAAGAGATTTTGCAAGCCTTGGGTTCAGAGATTTTACAAAGCTCATGTCATACGTGTTTCCGCTTTAATCAATGAGTCCAGAACATGCACTGTTAGAAGTAACAGCAAAAAAATAGTTAAATAATATTTTATTTAATTGTTTTAAATATTTTATTAAATTGTTTTTAATATTTTATTTAATTGTTTTTAATATTTTATTTAATTGTTTTTAATATTTTATTTAATAGTCAAGTAACATTTTATTTAAAAAAAACAATCACATAGCAATAAATAAGTTGGTATTCAAATTGTTAACTGCGAGAAAAACATTTTATTAACCGATTTTTCCTAGAATAATTCAACAACCTTAATTTCATTGCACCAACTACACCTACGTAATGAAGCTACTTATTTTTTTTGCAGATGGGTACATATTTTAACCAAGAGGGCTAATCTGTCATCTCTTCTCCAATTCCCTTGACCGAAAAAGCGTGGGTTCGAATCCCAACGTTGACACTGCGATATTTCCTCCATTCCCTTCATTACATGAAGGGTTTCCAGTGTCTTGCGTTCCCCAATTAGCAACCCTGGACTGTTTTTGCACTGACTTGGCATTAACAATAAATAAAAATAGCCTAATAAAACAGACGATAAATAAAAATAGCTTAAATGGATAATCTGAAAATATGAACTGTAAATGTTTAATTATTGATAAATTAAATTAGGCTAATATTAATCGGCTCAAATTTAAAACATATCAAGCCTAACATGTATTTAAAAAACAACGTAAGTATTCTCGTATATCAAGGTGAATTCATTCACATTGAATGCAAGAAAGACAGTAATGAGTAATATCAATACCGATGTTATCTGCTCGGATAGACTGTAAGAAAAAAAAATTAAATATTGCGCCTGTTTGCTTACTTGATAAATAAAAATCTTTGACCAAGCAGTCTTTTTTTATTTAAAAAGAAGTCATTTTTGTTTTTGCTAGCAGCAGGCTTTTCCCATAAAAATTTGATAAGGAAATATTTAAAAGAGGCAAACTTCGCTATACAAATTTATAGTTTCAAAATTTGACACACCTTAAACCTTCAAATATGAAGACTGTTGTTTTGTTTGCTGGCTTGTTGTCCGTTGCCTTAGCTGAAGTTATCAGTCTAAGTCCTGAGCAGACAGAAGGTAATGTTTCGTTTTCTGCAATTTTTGATGATAAAAAATGTTATTAAACAGTTTATATCATAAGACGAATCTAGAGTATTGGGCAATTTTTATTAACAATTTGTACAAGAGGTAGATGTGAACTAGTTTTTTTTCCAGCTAAAAAGTGCATTTTCTTTTTTTGCGTTTCTTGATATGTGTCTACTTAGCAGCAAAGGAAAAAAATTGCTTAACTACAATTTTTTGAGATCTTTGTTCAGTTAAATTCGAGTTTAATATTAGGATGTTAAGAAACAGCTGACATTTGCAAAGTGTAAACGGTGTTGAAATGCTCTGTAACAATTTTGAGAAAAAGCTGGTAAGCCACTTGGATCAAGAAGAAACGTGTCTGCATAAGTTGGCATTTCAGCGAAAGGCTGCGAGTCCCAATTTTTATAAAACCCGAATTGATCAAAATTCTTTTGGTGGAAGTCTTAGTTATTTTGGGAGAGTCACTAGTTATTTTGGAAGAATTGCTAGTTATTTTGGGGGAAATCTTAGTTATTTTGGAAATATTTAATGCGGAGAATGATATATTATGAATATTATGTTATGAATTTGATATTACGAATTAATATGCCATTAATTTGTTCATAATGCATATTCTGTAAATTAATATAAAAAGTTATTAAATCCTAGTTATTTTATGGGAATTCCTAGTTATTTTGGGTTAATTTCTAGTTATTTTGAGGGGATCACTTGTTACTATGAAAGTATTAAATACGAAGAACGAAATATATGAATGATATTATGAATCTGTTTATAATGCATGTAAATGAATATAAAAAGTTTTTAACTCCTAGTTATTTTGTTTGAATTCCTAGTTATTTTGAAGTAATTCTTAGCTATTTTGGGAGAATTGATAGTTATTATGAAAGTATTTAAAGCGAAGAATGAAATATGTGAATGATATTATTTATTAGTATATTATGAATTTGTTCATAATGCGTATGGTGCAAATGGAAGTAAAAAGTATTTAAATCCTGTGGGAGAAAAGTTTTCTAATCCTGTTATTGTGAGAGAAATTCTAGTTATTTCGGGGAAATTCCTAGTTATTTTGGTAGAATTCCTAGTTATTTTGGGGCAATACTAGTAACTTTAAAACTATTTAATACGAAGAATGAAATATATGATATTAATATCTCATGAATTTGTTCATAAAAAGCATATGCTGTAAATGAATATAAAAAGTTATTAAATGCTATGTATTTTTGGGGAATTCCGAGCTATTTTGGGGGAATTCTGAAAGTATTTAATACGAATAATGAATGCGTTAATGACATTACGAATTAATATATTATGAATTTGTTCATATTGCATATGCTGTAAATGAATATAAAGGCAAATTGTCTTAAAAACAAACTGCTATAAACGTTGATAATAGTCATCAGAGAAACGTTACTACTTTATTCTTGAACTTAGTCACTTCATTTTGAATTGATATGCTTAGTTCCACCACAAAGGCGAATTTCTCCTGGAATACTTCATCCAGGAGTTCCTAGTCTTCTGGATTGGGTTCAAAATTACAAGGCTAAGGAGTTAAACATCGGTANTAGATATATATATATATATATATATATATATATATATAAACTAAAAAATTGAAAAAAATATGGAAAAAAATAAAAATAATGACAAGAGAAGAAAATTAATAAAACAAATTTCAGAAGTATTGAATATATATATGCATATTAGGGACAATTAATAAAATTACATAAAACTTTTTCGCAATGAAAAAGAAATAAAGATATCTTGTATCGTGCTTTTAGTTATTTTCGCTGATCTGAGATAAAGTAAATATGTAGCAATTTCAATAATCCAAACGTTAATCAAGTCTAATACTTAAACCAATTAATTTCCTAGTTAAAAAGTTATCATCATTAGAAAAAAAAATAAAAAATTGATATTCTGCAAGAAAATGCGATTTTGACTAAACGCGGTTTTGACTTCATATTTTGACTAAAATCGAAATTAAATAATAGGAAGTAGCTTGATAAATTTTTAAATTTTATATTTTAGAAGCTAGAAAGGCTCTGGAAGATCCAGATTTATTCGATGGTGACATGATTGGAGTTACTTACGTAAGTATTCGAAAGATACTGACTGAATGTTGTCACCCTCTTATAGAATGTTTTTCCGAAAGTTTTGCACCAAGGAGAACTGAAGAAGTCGCTGTATGAGTGCTTTAAATGCAAATGAAAGCTGAGAAGTTTAAATATGAATACCTCCTGATAGTGAAAAATTATCTAGATTTAAAATTAGTTAAAGTTATAAAATTTTTTAAACTTTTTAAGAGCTTAAGCTATGTAAGTGTTGGAGTAAAATTTTAAGCATTTAAAAAATATCGAAGTATTATTTGCTTTCATAAAGCTGTGTTTTTTTTCATCTTGTGGTTTTACACCATTTTCATATTTAGCATAAAGGTCTCTGGAAAAAGAAAACCAAAACTCATTATAAAAGTCATGAACTACAACATCAATTAGGAATTAATAAAAACAGAACATTATTTGCAAAAAATCATTATTTCGTTGTAAAATAGAGTTTTTGAAAAAGAACTTCAATTACAAGACCCATATTTCAAAGTATATCATAAATTAATGATAAATAAACTTCTCGTTTGATGCTCGTTTGCTGTGTTGAAAATTGTAGACATTTGAATAAAACTTTTATGGCGACATTAAAATCTTTCCACTTAGTTTTAAAAGTGGGTACAGCTTCATGTACATCCAATTTAAAGAAATCTCGATTTCAAATATTGGTTATTTAAATATACTAAATTTATCAAAAAATTCAGTCAGTGTTATAAAATGCCTTCTTTTGAAAAGTCTAAGCAAAATATGCAAAATATGTATGTATTATATTGAGGAGGTATGTTTATTTTTTCTTTCAATTTAATTTTTAAATTATTGTTTCTATATTTTTGCTTCATATATCTATAATCAAGTTAAAAAAAATTTAAATTTCTCTCATAATTTTTTTCTAATTAATTTTCCAGTTCATTCTAATTGGGATTATGTTGTGTTTCATGTTAGAAATTATGTTTTGTTAACTACTGTAGATATATTATACACTGTTACAAATTTCTCGGAAAATGGTTAAATAAAAATCTATTTAAATGTTATTTTACCATATTCAAGCAAAACAGTCAAATAAGAATATATAAGATGGTATTCAAACTGTTAACTGTAAGAAAATATTAACTGTGAGTCCAGTATTCCCCTTTTTTACAATAGGCAAAGTAAACTAATTAATCCACGGTTCGTTTGATAGAAAACTTTTCACCACAACTTAATTCTAATGCCCTTTAGTTAACTAAAAGCCTTGCTCCAATGTCTAGATAAATCTCCTTTTTACTGTTTTGAAATTATGACAGTTGCAAATGGTAAAAAAAAAAATCTCGTATAGTTTTGTATTCAGTTTTTTTAACCATACTAACTGCAAACGGTTTCAAACTGTAAAGGTAAAAAAATGTTCTTTACCGTAACCTTTACGGTTAATTGAATGGACAGACTGCTGTCTGTTATTTTACTGTAATTTTAATATGAAAATTTTAAAAGTTTACTAGCCGATTTAAAGTTGTTTTAAGCGCTATTTACAGAAATTATTTCTTCTAGGATGATGAAAGAAATGCTATTGTTGGCGAACATTTGAGATGGCCAAATGCAGTTGTACCTTACGTTATAGATGACGTTTTGCGTAAGAATTCTTCTTTGGTTTATTGTTTATTTATTTTTTTATTTACTCGTTTAATTGTTATTTTTAATCCAACAGTGTCTTTGGTCTCTTTGTGCAGACAATTTTAAAATACATCATGTGCTTAAAGATATAAGTTGTTAGATAAAATTGACAAAAACTATTTTGATGTGTATTTTTTTAAATTTTGTCCGTAGAAGCTCGTTAGTACTCCATGAATAATCTAGCTTTTTTTTTCCTTTTCAAAATCACCTCAGTACCATTTGGTCGCAATATCCAGAAAATAACTTTTAAACTTGTTCAATTGCTATTTTCATTAATGATAATTATTTAAATTAATGTGATTTTGCATTTTTTGACAGGTGTTTCAGTTGTTACATTGAACGCTGCATTTTTCTGAGATGCTAAATAATTACTGTAATTTTTTATCCTTTGTTTTAGTTTTTCGCTGTGCAGTTCAAAATTGGCATTTTTCAATTCTATGTATTTTTAAATTTCAATTTTTTTAATTTTATTTATTGAACATTTATTTTCCCTGTATTTAATGTTAGTACATTTAATCTAATTATAAAGCTAAGCATCACTTTTGCTAAAATTCAATTATATATATAATATTTTATAATTCCACTGAAAAATATAACAAATATGCAAAAAGTGTTTTTCATTAAAACCATTTAAAACAAATCTCGAAAATAAAGGAAATATGGACTCATTGATGAATACTTTAGGAAAAGCTTTTTATTTTAAAACAAAAAAATCTTATTAAAGCTTAATACTTTGCAGTAAATTTCAAAATTAATGTAATCAACTACAAGTATTTTAATATTCATAACGGAAGTTATTAGGAAGAAGAAATTAAATAAAACTTATCACTAAGGCTAATTAGTTGAAAACTTTCAACGGGCCTATTTAATGCTTTTTTTTAAACATTTATATATTTAAGGCTCTAAATTATGAACATTTTACAATTTCATTTTTGAAATTTCAAATGTTTGAATTGTTGACATTAAGTTAATGCTTTTCTTAAACAAACAGATCCCTAAGATTTCCATCTGCTCAGAAATTTTGCATTATGGAAAAGTTATTAAGAAAAGAAATAGCCTTGTATTCAAAAATTTTTAGTCATCCCAAATTTTACATTCAACCCCAATTTGACATTTTAATTGATTTTTTTTAAAATTTTAACAAGATTACTATTTCATTGCTGTTCAGTTATAAAATAATTAGGGAAAAGCTGTATACTGTCTTATGAAATATATTCCCTTCTCCAAAATGTTCAAAGTATGTTCCTCCAAAATCTATCACGAGAAAAATTTATGAATTTTCTGAGAGGTCAAGGAGGATATATACTTGGCTAGAATTTAATATTGTTCTCTAGTCTACAAAGGCCTTGTTTCTTGTGAACTTGTTGGGGCTGTATGGAATGTGGTTAAACCCAGGTTGATAGGGATGATCGGATTAAATTTTTTGATTTAAACTAACATAGTAGAAACTTCCTGATCAAATTGCGGTGAAAAGTACTGGTACTCCGGGTGCCTGTACTTTCTACCATAAAGTCCATCTTTAAAGGTACATGTTTCGGGACAAAAAAATCTGATATACTGTAATTTTTACGGTAATAATTTGAGTAAAGGTAGCTTAACTCTGACCTACCCCACAGGGGATATCCGAGGAAATAATTATAGTTAAATTTTACGAAGGAAATTATTATAGTAATTCCGAGGAAATAATTATAGTTTCCGAGGAAATAATTATAGTTAACCCCACAGGGGATATCCGACGAAATAATTATAGTTAACCCCACAGGGGATATCCAAGGAAATAATTATAGTTTAATCACTGAATCACTCTAATTAAATAAATATTACAGTTACAGTGTACGTTAAGTGCTGACCTAACCTACACTGAGACAAAAGTATAGTCAAAACTACTAAAACATGGTAAAATTCACATTCTTTCTGGCTCTATGGGACCACCAAAAAGTTCGGTAAATTATATCGATGTGCTTTGGTAATGATGTTTCTTTGATTTGGTAATGATGTTCTCCATTTTTACCGGATCACGATACGGGACAAAAAAAATCTGATATACCGTATATTTCCACGCAATAATTACTGTAAAATCACTAGCATACTCTAATTAAATAAATATAACTTTAAAAATTACGGAATAAGGTTTTACGGTTAAAAATGGATTTCAGGGTAAGATTAAATTTACGGATAATGCAAAGTGTTGATAAATCCATAATTTGATCAGAAATTTCTTTACTGTGTAGGCAGTTTTCTAAAGGCCCCTATTACTTATGAATCGTAGGTATAACAAAAGTACATAAAAGAAAATTCTTTCTTATATTTTTTCCCCTTTTAGTTAAATATGAGTTTTTGGTGAAGGACATAGAGAGAGCCATGGAAGAATTTCATAAAAATACATGCATCCGATTCGTCAAAAGGACAGACGAAAAAGATTACGTTCGATTAGTTTGGGGAGATGGTAAAAGGTAATTAAAAATTTGATATATTTTTTTAATATAAATAAAAAAACACTATTGAATTTTAAAAGAAAATTGTGTTCTTTATCACTTTATATGCTTCTTTTTTAATTCAAAGAATATGAGTTAACACTTCATTTAACTGTTACTGACCCTTAACATTTAAGGTTATGTGAAAAGATTAACTTTTAAGATTTTTAAAAATGTATAATTGCGCAAATTAATTCATCATAAATGAGGGATAATGTAATTCCACTGTCATTACAGCATAATTAAAAATATGTTGAAAATGTAAAATAATAAATAAAGTTAAAAAAAAAAAAGCGTAAAGTAAGACTAAGAATATTGGAACCTTTTAGCAGGAGGAACCTTAACATTTTTGTCCACCTAGTTTCCTAGCGAGTTCGAGTCTTTATATCAAAAATTCGAATTTAATAGACAATGAAGTCTTAAACCAATTATGTTTAAAAAAATAAAACTCCATTAACAATTTAAAAGCCATCAGCAAGAAATTAGTCGTTATTTTAAAAAGTTATAAAATTGGAATGAACCTTTTCTCATTAGATTCACGTTAGCTCTTTAAAATACCGTGTATTTAAATATGAAATATTTTTAAATAGAAAAATCTACCAAATGAATGGTTTAAGTACCGTATATTTTGGTAACTGCGAAATATTGGTAGTCAATATTTTTTTGCCAGGAATGTCTTTATCATGCGTTAATTTTACCTCATTTTTTCCGCTGTAATTACATACTATCTATTAGCTAAAAACATTAATTTTTTAAAAAATCTGACAGCAGTTGTCTGTAATGACTTGCGATGCTTAATTGTGTATGTCATAGCCATTACGTTTCTGGTAATGAATTGAAAAATAAACGATAATTAACCAATATTTATAAAACATGCTATTTTTGGTTTTTTTAAAATAAATTTTGGCTCACATTACAAATAACACTTCGACTAAAAATGTAAATTAAAGTATATTTGCGCAATATATTTTGAAATTAATTAATTATAAAATATATAAGATTATGGCATTTCATAAATACTGCAGGTAGGAGAGTGAATTACCATTAAAAAGTAATTGCACTGCAAACATAAAAGTATATTTTCTGTGCTTTTAAAAATATGGAATTTCTTAACTCTTACAGCTGCAGCTCTCAAGTAGGTAGAGTTAATGGTGAACAGATGCTTAATCTAGGTAGAGGTTGTTGGTATAAAGGAACTGTTATTCACGAATTGGGGCATGCTCTTGGATTCTATCACGAACAAAACAGATCAGACAGAGATGATCATTTGATTATCTACGAAGAAAACGTAAAAGAGGGTGAGTGGTTGGTAACTTGATATATTTTGAATCCCAAGAGAACGTGGAAAAATTTGTTTGCTTACAATGAAGAGTGATCATTAAGAGGTTAAGATAAAATAAAGCTAAATTTATAATTTTACCAACCATTTAATTCTTAAATTTGAAAATTTATTTTATTAAGCAACATATTATTATCAGGAAAAAATGTAGTAGTTTTTTGCAATTTTAGTAGGTTGATAATATGCATCTTGATTTGCATATAATCAAGTGATAGCGTATTACTGATAATATGCATAATACGCTATCACTTGGTCTATTTCATTAAACACAAATTGTAAGAAAGAATTTCATTTTGTGATATGGCGTGTTTAGCAATGAACATGTAAAGGTGATATTCAAACCATTATGGTTGAGTATTAAAACGTGAACGGGAATCATTAGACCTAAAATTATTCAGTTATGTATTGCGCATTGTACAGCAGAATATAAACTGATAGTTTCTCTGAAAAACCTGACATGTTAGTAGCTGGTTGACGAAAAAGATAAGCAAATATTTTGTGTTTGTTTAGAGTTGTTAGCAATTCTCTGGCATGTATTTTCTTGCTTAGATTCGATTTCCATCCTCACCTCGTGTTATCCATGACCATGTTTCAGAGTTTTGATCAAATTTGCTTTTTACATAGTAGTTTAACGACAATCATCTATATCTAAGAGAGTTTTTAAGCTTTCTGTCAAGTTTACTTGCTTTTTCATTACCTATTACCTAATTTAGAGTTAATTGTTTCTTGTTTTCCCCCTTATTTTCAAAATTAAAAAGTCCTGATTGTTATGGTCTTCTGAAGTTGAGTGTGAATCTGAATATAAGTTTGTGTTTATGGTAGTTGTTGTGTAATCGTTGGTTTTCTCTACAAATATACCCATATTTTAGATCTAAAGATGCTTATGTTAACTGCTATTCTGTAGCATTTTAAAATAGCTTAATGCCATCATAGCAGATTGCAAAGGAGAACATAGTCCAAACTTGCTCATTAATTGTTCTGCTGGGTGATATAGTTGTTTTAGAGGCCAAAAATATATAACGGTTTCCATAGATTAAAGTCTTTAAATATTTTTGCTTCTATGAGGTTAAGAGGATTTATCCATGGTGATTATTATTGTAATATATGTTCATTTTTTATTAAGCACTATTCTTTGGGGTTGTCAGAAACGTCAGTTAAATTTGTCAGTGTTCACTTACGATGTCTTGTCATTTGTTAGTGTTTTTTAGTGAGCAAAACCAAGTATGTGCGTCACAGTTTATTAATATTAGCACGTTTGTTTAAATATGTTTTTGCATTTCCGGTTAACTTTTTATGTTTTTTATTAGTGCTTAAAATCCTGTAATTGTCACAATATGTTAGTCAAGATGCTGCAACCAAGTTAACTAAAAATCGAGCTTAAAATCAAGATAATCCAATTCTAAAGTTCGTTTAATAGTTTAACCTGTTAACATAATACCATGTTTTCTGGAAATTGCTGATAATTGCTCTCGAAATTGCTTATACACATCTCGAAATGGGGTGTGATACTTACAGAGAAGAGGTTGGCAAAAGCTATCTTTTTCACTGTTAGTCAATAGCGATATTTAGCATTCACGATAAATGAAGAATTCGTCTGAAATCGATTTCGAAATCAATAGCAACCAGTCTAATCATTAAATGTATTTATCAGAATTCTCAGATAACCTGGTCTTCTGAGATAAATCACTTTGTACATTTGCATCTTAAGTTTATACCTTTTACGTTATTTATAGTACTGTTAGTATATATGGTAATTAGATTTTAGATTTTAATTGATTAAAAAAATTAATCATTTAAGGAATTTTTTTGTAATAGAAAATGTGAATAATTCTTAACGCTTAACAATTTGCTTCGTTTCGCAGATCAGAAAAAGAACTTTATAAAGCTAAATCCGGAAGAAAATATTCTATATAATGATTTTGACTATGACTCCATCATGATTTATGGCAACAAAGCCTTGTCCAAGAACGGAAAAGACACCATGGTGGCCAAAAACGGAAGGACATTGGTAGACCCTTTTAATAAAAATGAAATGACCAAAAGTGACATTGAAAGATTCAAAAAAATGTACAAGTGTGCTTAATTTCTTGCAAAATATTTTTTGCAACTGTTAAAACATGATGAATAATAAACAGTAAAGGGAATAATTATCTTGATGTATTAATACAATTTATTTTGTTGTTTTGCGTAAAATATACTGTATATATTAAATTATCTGTGTTACGAAAATTAAGGAGTTGAATTGATTATTTAGAAAATTCGTTTATTTGAATGGCTGTGATAACATTTTCATACATATAAATACTAATATAAATTTTAAACTTAAATGCACATCATAAATTTTTTTAAATTAATGTAATGACATTATTATCACATCTAAAGTTTGACGATAATTTCTTGAGGGATTGTTAATTACATCACTAAAATTTGACAATAGTTTCAAAAGTGGCGGGTATTAGTTTCTACAAATATATAAAGTCCAACAAACATTGAAAGGGCTAGAATAGTGATTTCTCAGCTAGTCCGCTACTTGATTAAAAAAACTAACACACGGCAGTTAAAGCAAAATGAAACAAATGCTTTTAGTAATACTAAAATAATACCATTGGAGACATTGATGGATAAATTTATTTTCTTTTTCTTGTTGCTATTACAACTTAAGTGGTGATAAGAATTTTAAACACAATATAATATCTATTCTCAAAATTGTATCAAATCTTTCTTAAATTTTTGTCTTATAAATTTAAAAATTTGGGGAACACGCATTCTTATTAAACTTAGAATAGGATAAATGATCCCTTTGACGTAAGTGTGTCATCGAAATTGGAGACCTTATTGTTGTGTCCTTCGCGAAAATTACAAAGAAGACAAAACAAAAAACATTTTTGAAGTGTAGGAAGAAAATAAATATTAAATAAAATGTTTAAACTTAAAAGAATAAAATAAAAAAATACTAAAAAGCCAAAAAACTATGATATAATCTCGTCTTCAGCACAAATGATTGTAACTTCAAAAAGAGAGCTTTCTAATATTGTTTTAATACAGTCAAAAATATATACTAATACAATAGTATTAAGAGTACCAAAAATGTTTGAAATTAAATAAAAAGTATTAAGCAAAAATACAAAATAAAACATGTCAAGCAAACATAAGAAAATAAAAATCCAAGTATAATACAAAATAGAGCACTAAATGTATCTATACAAAGAGAGACCCCGCCATACTACCTGCCATTTCGCAACAAGTTTGCATTATATGAAAACAAAAGCTTCAATAGAAGATAGTGGGATGTAATTAATGACAAGATCTTACTATATATATATATATACACTGAAGAGCCAAAAAAATTGGTACAGGCATGAGTATGCAAATAAAGGGGTATGGAGCCAATCAAAGTACAGCGCTGCGATCCGCAAAGCGTATATAAGACAACGAGTGTCTAGCACAGTTCTTAGATCGGTTACTGCTGCTACAATGCCAGGCTTAAGTGAGTTTGAACGTAGTGTTATAGTCGGCGCACGGGAGATGGGGCATAGCATCTCCGAGATAGCAATGAAATTTGGATTTTCGCGTACGACTATTTCACGAGTATACCGTGAGTATCGGAAATCCGGTAAAGCATCAAATCTACGACATCGCTTCGGTCGGAAAAATATCATGCAAGAACGATATCTGAAGATATCCCCACCCCCTCTTACTCCCACTGGTTTATGGAGAGCCCTGCAGGATTCATGGTGTCAATTATCTCCAGCACTACTTCACACATTGATCGAATCCATGCCACGTCGTGTTGCGGCACTTCTGCGTGCTTGCGGGGGCCCTACACGATATTAGGCAGGTATGACAGTTTTTTTGGATATATATATATATAATGTTACCGACAAAGTATGAAATAAACGTCCTGATGAGGTTATTATGTAAATGATGTGCATGCTACTGTGAATGACCGAAATCGGTGGTTGTTGACTTTCACCGGTGAATGTTGACAATCACATAGTCGTTTTGGTGAATGTCCGAAATATTTATCACATTCGATTTGACATTAATTTATTCGTGGATATAATTACATTTATTCGATATTTTAATACTTACTGACGATAGAAACATCAGTGCTTGGAGTAGCGGGCAAATGTATACCGGGCAATGGCACTTGACCTTAAAAAACATCAGTGTAGGGTATATCAGGCAAATGTATACCGGGCAATGGCACTTAACTAGACCTAGTATATATTTCGGACATTAACAAAGGTCTAGTCATACTAGGTCTAGTTAAGTGTCACTGCTCGGTATGTATTCGCCCGGCATATCCTACATTGATGTTTTCTTTATGGTCAAGTGCCATTGCCCGGTCTACCCTACACTGATGTTTTTTTAAGGTCAAGTGCCATTGCCCGGTATACATTTGCCCGGTATATTATACATTGATGTTTTTTTTGGTCAAGTGCCATTGCCTGGTCTATCCTACACTGATGTTTTTTTAAGGTTAAGTGCCATTGTCCTGTATACCTTTGCCCGCTACTCCAAACACTGATGGTTCTTCTAATCTATCGTTAGAAAGTATTAAAATATCGAATAAATGTAATTATATCCACACATAAATTAATATCAAATCGGATGTAATAAGTATTTCGGACATTCACCAAGGCGACTATGTGATTGTCAATATTAACCGGTGAAAGTCAACAACCACCGATTTCGGTCATTCACAGTAACATACACATCATTTACGTAATGACCTCATCAGGACGTTTATTTTATACTTTGCCTAAATGGTATCCGTCATTATATATAATGTCTAGGCAAAGTATGTAATACTTCTCATATTTCATACTTTGCCTGAAAACGTCAGGCATTATATATTATGCCGGCATTCCACACTTTGCCGGTAACATATAGCAACATAACCCACTCCACACTGTCACAAATACCGGTTCATAGGGTGAGCCACATTCACACAGCACACAGCAGAGAACAACACAGAGAGAGGGAAACAGTCATGGCCAGAGTTGGATTCGATCCCGCAGCCACTGGCTTCACAGTCAGGCGCGCTGACCGCTAGGCCAATTGACTTGCAAACTCCATTTATAGATTCCCTGTAATTCATATCATTCATTAAAAGTAATTTTATTCTTATATTCCAGTTCTCACATAGTAATCAGATTCAGAACAAGTTCCCTTCAGAATGTGGCGTAAGTTTTCCTGGTGTAAGCATATTTAACAGATATTCTTACTAATTTTATAAAAGTGAAGAGGGGAAAACCTTCACGGCACTTAAACTTAATGCGCCATTTCTTTAGGTTTTCAATAGTACAGTTATTTTGATTCTACAAGAATAATACATAGAAGAAGGATTAACAATACGGTTAAATCTTACGCAATATATGATTGAAGCAACAGAGACTACTTTTTTGAATTTTATTTCGGTAACTGAAAAAGGTTTTAGATTCAAGGTGAATCAAGAAAAAAGCATGAATGTTGATAAATTCACTTTAAAATTAGTTGTATGATAAATCAATTTTTGTCAAATCAAAAAGGACTCTCTTTTGTCAAATCAGGACAAAATAAATTTTGATTTAGACGATTTCCTCTAAAAGTATGAAATTTTTTAAAATTTTTTTTCCGTGCATGCCTTGTATAAAGGAGTAAATTTAAAAACTTATATATTGCCCAGTGTTAAACAATTTGTTTTTCAAATTTTAAAACTGAAATTTTGGAAGTAATTTTAAATTGTTCTAATTTTTTTCAAAAGTTTTATAGAATATTTTTAAATTTAAAGCTAAAAATACTATTTTTTTTTACTAAGTCAAGTTTCTTGAAATGTGTATATTCCAATGGCAAATTTTAATCTTCTTTCCCCTCTCAGTGCCCTCTGTCACAGAAAGGGGAAAATCTCAGTGTGTTAAACTAAAATAAATAAATAAATAATAGTGTGTTTTAAATACTAAAGTGAAAGGAGTAAATATTGCGATTTATATAAAATGCATTTTTCTGACTAACTGTCTTATATAATTGTTGAATTTTAATAATGATATAAATTTTATTTTATAATTTATTTTTTGAACAAAAAATATGTTATAAAATCTTTCAAGTTTACGAAAATGTTTAAGTTCTTTTTTTTAAATATTTCGAATTTTTAACTGAAGCAGTTTAAATTTTAATAGTACAAAAAGAGGAAAAAAGCATTAATTTGTTAGTTTATTAGAAAAAAATGGACCAAAATTTGTATTTATGTATTAAATATTACATGATGTATGAAAGTTTTTTACAGGAAAATGTGAATTTTATTGACGAGCTAAATAAAATTAAATGCCCGCAGCTCATCTGCAAAAGGGAAACGAAAACAGAAGAATTGAAGCTTTTTCTTGTATTGGATAAAATGATTGTAGATGTTGACACTTGCTCCATAAGAGCAATTGGCTTCTTGTTTCAAAGTCACTTTGTTTTCAATGTAATATACGGTAAATCAAGATCTACGTTCTTCTCGTTTCTTCAGTTTATGCTCTATGAGCTGAAAAAAGTGTTCCTAACAGCGTTCTACTATGTTGAAGGAACACATAAAAATATATAATAAAACATAGACAATAAAATATTTTCTTTCAGTAATTTAGTTGTCTCATTCACTAATGCAATCTCACGTTTTATGTTATAAGTCTTAACCCTTCGCAGTTGTATCATAGCTTTTAGGCACCAATTATTTTGGCAGGGATGCTGACTGCTCCACTTCGAGAAGACATTTTATAAAGTGGCAAAGAATTAAAAACTGAGATCAGTATAATTTTGTTTCCCTTCGCTAATGCTTTGAAAAGTACCAAAATAATTCGAACAAGGTGGCATGAGAAAATTGACATATCTGAATTATTTAAATGTAGGGGTGGGCAACACAATTCTTAATCATATCCACAAAGCGGATCATGTTGGCATCTTTGCTTTTGAATAACGACAGGCTATGACCGCTAAGCTTTAAAACATGAATTGAGCCTGGCATGAAAGTTATATATATTTAATAATTATCATTGATGATTTAATGTGATTTTTAGAGTCGTGTTACGCATGCATGTAGCGTTATATAAAAGCAAGTTAAAATACCAAAGAAGTTTTAATTCTGTTTTTTAATTACGATTAAATTGCAGTTAGTTCGTTTGTAAATTACAATTAATCAAAGGAGTGATTAAAAATGGTTTTCCTCGGTTCAAGGAGAACTGTGAAAACATGAAATTGTCAGGGAATTTTACAAAAAGCAAGGGAAGTTACAATTTTTTTTCTAAAACCTGGAAAAAAAATATTTGTTATTGGAAAATAATCAGTGTTAAAATTTTAACAGTAATTAGTTGAGATTTGAGTTAAGCAATTCTAACATCTATTACAATTATTTATCAAAACAATATTTATATATATCTATTACAATAATTTAGAACTAGGTTGGAAATGATTAAGTACGATTTAACGCACTAATGAAGTATTTTTAATTACTATTTGTATACCTATATAAAAGAAAAAATTATGTAAACTGTTAATAAATTTTTTTTCTTTTTGTTTCATTACAAGAAGTTAAAAATCCCTAAGATTTTGTACTTAAGTCTGTCACAAAGCTTCCGAACTATATAGAGTATTATCTTGCAATTATATCCAGCATATTGTTAAATACAAATGAACTAGGAGGCTCCGCCACCTGCTCGCTAACGCTCGCCAACCCCCGAGAATTGCTACGCAATCCTATGTGGTTCACGCCGTGAACCATGGCTCGCTGCGCTCGCTCGCCAATGAACACAATGTTCTAGCACAAAGACATAATATATTATCATCAAAGACATAGTATTTTATCATCAAAGACATAGTATTGTACTTATGTAGAAGAATTCTACCAATGTTCTTATTGGCTTTTAAAAAAGTATATTAGCTATTTAGATTGTACATGGTGAAAAAATCAAAACATTAGCTAAATAAGAAACATATTAGCAAAATAAATTATCAAATATTGCTTCACTAATATTCTGCATTTTAAAGCGTGAAAATTCAATGCATAAATAAACGCGAAATATAAAAAAATTCAATGCATTCAATACAAACACTTAAACGTTTTTTAGACGTTTAGGTAGCTCCCAGTAGAAAAATATCAATTCAACAGCGGCCTTTTAAAGCATTCTCACTTCAATTAATTAATTAATTCCTAATTGAGTTTAAATTAAATATTGTCATGTTTTTAGTGCATGAATCTGAATTGAACAACCTGATAATGCTCACTCTGGTTATTGTTATCTGGTTGCTCACTACGTGCTCTTGCGCGCCGAATCCAATCAATTAAAAATGAAAACTGTTGCCAGCGCGAGAAAAGAAATATCATCGGTTTTATTGATACATACATACATACATACGTACGTATTAGCGTTTTATATAATATATAGATAGATTACTAAGCTTTCACTCTTTTCTCAACTGTCACTGTTTTGTTTAAAAATTAATAAAAAGAAATTTATTAATTACCGAACAAACCATTGATCCATTGATGAGATTTGAAAGAAATAAATACTGATAAATTATTTCTGTTGCACATGCTAAAATATTTTTCTAGTCATCTTATTTATGATAGGCATTAAAAGATCCAGTGAATAGTCGGAAAAAGGATTAATTTAATTCAAATGTGACTTAAATCAAATGTGACATTCAAGTAAAAATAACAAATAATGATAGAAAATAACTTTAGTACGATTAAAATATATTCTCTTAAATGATGCTAATTATGAGTGAAAAATTATTGAAATTCACTCAAAACAAGTTTTTTTGAGACTGGTCAATTTCCTGTTGGCTTATTGTCAAGCATCAAAGCACTTGTTTTCTTTTTTTTTAGATCCATGAAAATTAATTTTTACTAATTTTATAATTTTTTATTCTATAACCGTCATTGAACGGCCGACCCAATTTTTGGGTTTATGATGATTATGATTTTTGGGCTAATGTTCAATGACGTACCCTTGTAATTTTGAACCCAATCCATAAGACAAAAAAACTTCTGGATCAAGTATTGGGTGAAATTTGTCTTTGTGGAGGACTTTTTTGATGGAACTAACCGCATTTTCATTACGTGGAGAAGAAAACCACTAAAACATGTCACGGTTAACCTGATTGCAAGGAGACTCTAACCCATGATCTGTCTACTACTGAGGACATTTTGCGTCATGGGTTGGGTTGGGTTTGTAAATGCTTTTCAGTTTTGCGCATGGTTTCTTAGTTCACAGTACGGATTTATTGATTATTTTCTTTTCTATTCAGTCAGCATGAAGAACGAGTGTACGGTAGTATTTTAAAAAAGAAAGAAAACGATAGTATTTAAAAAAAAATTGCTTGAAATTAAATAAAAACATGTATTGTTTTCTTTTAATCTTTGAAAAATAGTTTTTCCATATGATTTAAACACACGGAGAACTATTTAGAGTTAACAGTTGTAAAAAAATAAAAATAAAAACGCAAGATGTTCTGGAATCTTTAATTCATCTTTGATCGTGCATATTTTTAATCAATAGCAGAAGGCTTTTCCCATGGTATTCGGTATATTTTTGATAAGAAGACATTTAAAAGGAATACGTTTAACCTTGCAGATTTATCGTACCCTCCCCACAACTCCAACTTACAGCCATGAAGACTGGTCTATTTCTTGTTGGCTTATTGGCTGTTGCTTTGGCTGAAGTAATTCAGCTAAGCCCTCAGCAAGAAGAAGGTAAATAAGTTCTTCATGATTAATCTATTCATATTTATATACTTTTTAACTTTATTGAGTTGTATGCTAGAGAAATGTATTAAGCTATGCTGTCTAAGTCTACTTTGCATTAATATTTTCTAAAATAATTTAAAATTAATTTTCAATTTTTGCGAGAAACAGTTCGCTTTTTCGAATCCCGTCTCATACTGAATAACTTTTGATCTAATGATCAGATATTCACGTTCTGGGACCCAATCTTAATGGTTCTAGGAGGTGATCGCAAATGTTCTAATTAATTATTGCAGATGATATTTTAACTTACGAAATCAGTCACAAAAATGTACTTTCTCAAAATAAACATACATTTTTAGAATATTCAGATTTTGGAACCTCAAAATATTGGACCTCTACGTGTTAATTTTCTCGTATTTCATCATATTTCGAAAACTTTTTAAGCGAATTGAAAAAAAATTTGCACAGAAAAAGTCTTGCAAAATCAATAAAGCTAAAGATAATTGAACGCAAAATTTAACTTTTAATAATTTCTTTTTATTATTTTATTTAATAATAAAAGCAACTTTCAAAATTCGAAAGTTTTTCGTTTATTATTAAATAAAATAATAAAAAGCAATAAATATTTATTAAAGGTTAAATTTTGTATGGAATTGCTTTTGGATAGACGAATTTTATAAATGTGTTCAAGAAATTTCGGTTCGCTTAAAAAGTTTTCCAAAAATATGATGAAACACGCAAAAAGTAAAATTAACAATAAGGGGTCTAAACTTTGGACAGCTCTTTTGACCAAACTATTGGGCACCTTATTTTCCAGATTGTTGCTACCCTCTATATTTTGGGGGTCAAAAATCGGAATCTGTCTGTCCTTTCGATTACCCGTAGAATTACACGATTTATGGTAGAGAACATTACTTGCTTTCATGATTTTTTTAATTATTTACTAGCATGGTTTCAAAACAGTTAGAAGTGCACTAAAAACTGATCATAGAAGCTAGATTTCTCGTTAGGTAATGCGCATTGTGCATGCCATTGGATTTTCTTCATTTGTTGAAGGGAATATTGCGGTTCCAGCGCTGGGATTTGAACCCCTTTCCGTCATCAATGAGACTTACAGATTAGTATAATATGTACGCAGTATAATATGCATATTGACAAGCATAATATTGTACGCAGTTTCAAAGAACTAAGTGCTTTCATTAGGTAGGCTTTGTAAGTGTAATTAAATTCTGGTTGTTTAATCGTATAAGGGGAAAGCAGATAAAAAAAACTGTATTTACCACATTTAAAAATTTGAATACCATCTTATTTATGGTTGATTAACTCTTTTGTTTGAATATATTAGAATAGCAATTAAATAAATTTTTATTTAACCATTTTTCCGAGAATTTTCAAACAGTGCAATTTTATAATGCAAATTTTATAATTGTTGGGTGTTTATAACAGCTATTCATGCTTGTTGAGTTATATTTATATTTATAGTCAGCACCCTCTAAGCTAGTTATAAAATTAACTCATAATGTAAGAGGCACATATTGTTAATACGACCACAGATTTACGCAAATATATTTTATATTTTTAATTCATTATCCATATTTTCTTGATTTATATTTTTAATGTATGAAAAGTAGTTTTTACACTTTACTGGTTTAGCTTATAAAAATATGTATAAATTAAAAGCCAGTAAAGGAATTTTTTGATTTTTGATCAGAGTTTTATGATTTCTTGTTTGATATAGTTAACTATTGCACAAAATGATATATAGTTCAAAGTTTAATATATTAAAAAAATAGATATAAGATATTTGTTCATTTTAAAACTAGAAGTTTCTTTTCATCAAAATAATTTATGTAGTTTGCTTTATATTAAGGGCTTTTGCACAATATACTGTAAAAAGTTCTGGATAAAATTGGGATAAAAGTACAGATGCCTGTAGTTTTTAACATAAAATCCATTTTTTGGAACATGTTAAGGAGCAAGAAAAATTATAAATCAAAAGGTTTACTATATTAATTACCGTAAAATTACTGAATCACTCTAATTAAATAAATATTATTGCAAAAAATACAGTATTATATCTTGCAGTGAAAATATATTTCACGATAAAATGGATTTCGCTGATGATGCACCCAAAGCGCCAGTACTTTGTACTGTAATTTGATCCGTAATATTTTTTTTAGAAAGAAATACTTTGAAAGATTTAATACTTTTGACTCATATGTCATTGGGTTATCAAAATAAGAAGAATTGAATTAAAAAATAAATGTTTTGATGAACTAGGTAGTGAGCCATGCTCAGTTTTTAGACTAGTAAAAAGAAATTTAACCATCAAAAACATTTACACCGTGACTTTTATGCTTTAGAGGCTCGATTGGCTCTGCGAAATCCAGACTTGTACGATGGTGACATGGCTGGTATCAATGGACCTTTGGTATGTATGATTTTTAAGATTTCTGAAATTATAATAAATATCAGCTATTAGCAGCGGAATTCAATGAAATGTCACCATTTTTCTATATAAACTATAGAGCAATAAATTTCAGAGATAAGTGAAATGTTAAAATTTATTTTTCTGACTGACATTAAACTAACTGCTCAATATTGCGAAGCAAAAAAAAATCTTCTTAAAATGCCGTTTTTTTAAAATTAAATTGAACTCATGAAGCATAATACTTATGGATTTGTTAATCAAATTTATTCCACATGAATTTTGAAATAAATTAGAGTATCTAAGTTCATGCAAGTTATAACATGGAAGACAAAATTTAGGATTGGGGAAGATTTCTGCCTTGGTACTATTACCAACACAACAGCTGCTTTATCACATGTTAATATTATATATATATTTTGTGGCTAAGCTGTAATATTAAGACACTTAATCTCATTTAACACTTTCATTTCAATTTTTTCTCTCTGAGTAACTCTGAGTCCGAAAAGATTTCATTACTATACGTTAACTTCTTCAAATTATACCTAGTGGTATTTTAATTCGAATTTCGAGCACCAGAATATCTTTTGAATTTCGTTATGTAANGTTAATATTATATATATATTTTGTGGCTAAGCTGTAATATTAAGACACTTAATCTCATTTAACACTTTCATTTCAATTTTTTCTCTCTGAGTAACTCTGAGTCCGAAAAGATTTCATTACTATACTTTAACTTCTTCAAATTATACCTAGTGGTATTTTAATTCGAATTTTAAAATACATATAACACCAGAACATCTTTTGAATTTCGTTATGTAACCTGTTAGACATAGACAAAAGTTTATAATTTTAATTGACATAGCCGAATTTTGCCTTGTATACTCTTAATACTAATTATTTTTATGCTTCTTCTTTCAATGCTTTTGTTTTACATTTCCAAAAATGACCAATGAAAAATTAATTTTCGCAATCGAATTATATTTCGAACGTTTTATTTACCGCTTAAAGGACGCATGGGGACTTCTCGTTTTTTGTTGCTCTGTAATTAGAAAAACAACCTACTGAAAGTGTTATGTATTTCTGAGATGTGTATATGGAATACATTGAGTTTTCATAATTTGATTCAATTTAAATCAGTATTTAATTATTTATATTTTAGCCTTATAGAAATGCATATGTTGGACCTTAAAACTAGAATGACGTGAGAGGCCTGAATGTTCCCTTTATTATTTTATTAGGTATCCTATTACCACAAATATGTTTTAGGTACAAAGTGCCCTATGGAATATATAAAATTTACTTAACCAAAACGAAAAAGTATTTCAACACGTCCATAATTATTATATAGAAAGAAAACTCAAATATTTAAGAAATTAATGTATTAATAGTTGTAAAGCTAGTGTGCTGCTTAATTAAATACTTTCATTTACGAAATCGAACAAAACATCTTAGAATTTCAATGATAGAGTCTTTATTTTAATTTTTTGATGTGCACTGGATCTAAACTCGAGCTGTATAGAAAGAGCCAAACTGCCCTCCTCATTCTTTTTAGGTATATAACAATGTTCAGTGTTAAGCAAACACCTTTCTACTGTTATAGTGTTTACTTTCAAGCTTCTAATTTAAATTTCCATTTTTCTGTTTCATATTAAAGCTGAAGTTAAACTATTCTCTTATAGGACGCTGAACGAAACGCTATTGTTGGAGATGCATACAGATGGCCAAATGCAGTTGTCCCTTACGTCGTTGATGATTCTTTAAGTAAGAAAGCTTGTTTATCTAGTAATAGTTAAGATACTGGCTGTGAAAAATACACTTAACTATAGTTAAAAAATTATTGTGATTTTGTATACCGTGTAACTTCTATATCATAATGAACAAGAAAAAAAGCATATTTACTAAACTCTCAAATCAAAAATTATTTACCCATCTACTTGAAGCAATTTTTATTTTAAGGATCTTATTCCCTTTCTACGAAATAATTTAAAATTGTATATTATTTTTCTAGATTTCATATGTTTCATTCGAATTTTTATTTAGTTTATTAGTTATGTAGCTATTAATGGAAAAGAAAGTCACCAATGCAAATATTTAAAGACAAAATTGTACTTTTCTTAAAATAAAACTATTCATAAATTCAAAACTATTGATCAGATAGTGTTGAGACTGGTCTTATTTGGTTCAGAGTGTATATCACTTTATGTTTTATCCCTTTCATGTAGGAATGCTTTGAAAAAATTCCATCCATTCAAATATGATGCTGCTTGAAACAGATGCATTAATAAGCATTTTGAAATAAAGATACAATTTTTTATTTTTCTTATCATTTATTTGTTCTATATAAGGCAAAACGAAGATAAAAATATTGTAATCCTTGATTTGTATTTTTTTCAAATTGTAAATGGATAAAAATACAGAAAAATATCAAAACCGAATCTTATGTTGACCCAATACACTGTTCCCATTAACTCTAATTGCTGTTTCATTTTAATTTTTGACTTAAATGAAATACAAAAATATGTGGAACAAAGTTAAATTACACACTAGTCCTTTCGAAAAAGATTTAGAATTAAATACTCTAGTAAGAAATACGAGAAAAAAAATTGCAATGCTAAAGATTTTTTTCAAAAAAAATTTGTCATTAATAAGCGATTAGACATAATTTATTTTTCTATTTTGATAGTATTAATTTTGAGTATAACAGGGAGATAATTTGTTTTGCAAAATGAGGGCAAACCCCTTTTCATTACAAAAAAGAAAGAAAAAAGGCAGTTTTTTTTAAACGTTTTTCTGATCACCGCCATTATTTTGAATGCTAAATATTAGCCCTAAATAATTTCCGATTAATTATCATTTGATATTGCGTCTTAAGCAAAGGTGTTGTGTCAAATATGACTTACTTAGAGAAAAATTATACAGTCATGTGCTTACATAATTTTTTTACTTAGATTTTTTTTTCAAACACCAATTAAATATGTTTCAAAAAATAAAATATTTATTTTTAGAACGAAATTGCTAATATTTTGATAAACGATATATTTTTATGCCACAAGCGAGCCGGAAAAAAACATGTTTCCTGAACTCACAAATTAAAAATTATTTAGCCGAAAGTAGTATTTAAGAATTAAAGGATTCATTAAAACTTTCAATGAAATAAATTTATTTAGGTTTCATATATAGCTATTAATGGAAAAAAATCTATGATAATAAATCATAGAAAAAATTGCCTATGGGTTGACCTGTACTTTTTATTGCGTAAAAAATAATTCGAAGCAAAATAAGCTACATTTTGAGATTGTCTAGGAGGAATATGTTTTAAAGGGATTATTAGTGAAAAATAAAATATAGCAATAAGACATTTCTGAGCACCGGGCTGCTTCGAGGGAAAATTCAGAAACTTGTAAAGTACCTATGTGGTAACAAAATTAAGGGAGAGTTTGATTTAAAAAATTTCTTTTTGAAAAGCATGGTTTATCTCTAGATTATCCAATTTTTTTATAATTATAATTAATAAATTTTTTAACCAAGTAGTTTTTCATGCCCCGTAAGTCAAAAATTTTTGTGCAGTGTTTGTATACATGCATTTAAAATAATAGTTTTAACCTAAATTAATTTTCAGCATCTTAAAAAATTTATTTATTAAAAGAGGAAGCTTAATTTTGTTAGCTTGTTTTTGCAAATGAATTGATATGCTTTATTTCTGCATTGCAAAATGTTAAATTTAAGTTATGATTAAATCAAAACAAAAAAATTTTAAATTTACAATTTATGTTAAGCTTTATTTCGAAAAGATTAATTTAAGACCAGTTCTTAAAACAATTGTTATAATTTTCTATTACTAGAATTTGTTTTTATTTTTTATTATAAGGAAAGAAAGAATAAGGTTAGGTTCTAGGTTAAATTTTTAGTTTGTGTTTTCTCGATATTTTATAGAACTTTTTTATTGAATTTTTTATGATGTAGTAGTATTAAACAGCACGGTACCTTTAATAAAGTAGAAAATAAAGGGGTCGCATTGTTAGATTAGGAGAAATAACGCATGATAATTTTTAGAAGAGATTTTTCTCCCCAAATCTTTAAGTAATAAAATGATGCGATTTGTGGTTTTGAGTAACTCATTTAAACTCTAATTTCCTAATCTCATTGCAGCATAAATGGATGAAAAACGTTTTAGATGACACTAAAGGATGTGCGGTATGGTCCTCGTTAAATTATTCTACCCTAAAGTGCCCGACTTCGCATGCAGGTCGTTGGCCTACCGAAGCGGTAGTGCCATTCTCTCTGCAGAGGATCAAAATTGTGATGGCTTGTCTTCGGATCATCCTCACAAATGTTTCCCAGACCGTCGCCAATAGCCTTTGTGCAGCTCTAGTGCGACGTAAATGAACTACAGCAACTACAACAATAGATGACACTAAAAATAATTTTCTTTAACGTTACTTAAAAATAAAGATACTGATCAAAAATCTAAAAACTAATGACTGTTAACTATTTAAATATCTTTTAAAATTTGCTGATTGGCATAATTTTTAGTGAAAAAATTAATAGAGAATCTAAAATATCCCTCGCTTTATGTCTCAAGCTCTGATTGGGTGACGGCCTTATATTATGTATCGAAAGAAAGTACCAAATAGAATAAATATTCATCATTTGTTTACTTGTAAAAATTAAATGAGAAGGATTAAAATTAAACTGTAACTTTTTCTCACCGTATCCACCTATTTTACAGTTTAGTTTGATCGGGTACCAAAGGTCCTCTGAAAGTTTTTATAAATTTACAATTTTTATTCGCTATTGTAGGATGCCTTAGTTTTTGTTTATTCTTAAATATAAGCAAAATTTTCAAAGAAAGTTATTTAGAATTTTCTTTTTCATATGAAGGTCAAATAGATGCTCAAGAACCCATAAACAAGGCCATTGCTGATTATCACGCAAATACCTGTGTCCGATTCGTAAAAAGGACAAACGAAAATAATTACATTAAACTCTTTTATGGAAAAGGGTAAGTAAAACTATATTCTCTAATATGATTTTTCTCAAAAACATCACCATATGTTCGACCTAATTTTTTAACACTGTAAAAAATGGATACCCAAATATTACATAACTTTGGCTCCAAGCAAACACTTCATCAAAAGTGACGAAATAACTATGATCACTTCTTCAAAGAATCAAATTTTAGCAAAATTTAAAAAAAAAAAATTGTCATTCTCATTTTCATAAAAAAAAAATTCGTAATGTATCTAAAATTTCGAATAATCACTTTAACGTAGGCATCCTTTCAGGTAGAGTAATGTTACCCCAACAACACAAGAAGGACAGGCAGAACAAAGTCAAAAATTACACCTATGTCCGAAATGGGATTCAAACGCAGGATTTTTCTGCTGGGAACTAAACTCTTTCACCCCCATTCAACCGGTCAGCTCCCTTCGATCACTTTACTTTCGTTCTAATCTTTAAGTTAGTTTCGTCATTCTAGGTAACTATCGCTTACAATGCAAACGATGTGATTTCGAGTTAAAAAAAGCGATTCGCTATTAATCGGAGTTCACGTTGGGTCACAAATCACGTGATTTTGCGTCAAAATTATTTTCAAAATTAACGAAATACAGCGCAAGAATTACTAAATCGTCAAAAATAATAGATTAATATCTGAGAGTGTATTAAAAGGAAAAATTATTCAATTAAAAGATGTCCAAATTATGATTACAAATATTTACAAGGATTTGGTGCTACAGATTTAGTTTCCTTTTTTAATCAGATAAAAGTGGACCTAGCTTTTTGCTCATCTACTTATGTAATGTTTTTCAACAAATCTGTTTTATAACCTCTATTGTGATTTTTGATAATTCTAAAAACTTGTTTAATAGTTTATGGCAATTTAGCATCGGTGCGATGCAGAATAATATGGCGTATAAAGAATAATTTAATGGTGTATAAAGAATAATTTAAAAGAAAATATGACTTGCTAACTATTAAATAAACGTAAAACGATAGCTAAATATTTTTGCTAAAATGTTACATTGCATGTTGATATTCTACGATTACTTTTTGATAAATGAAGAATTTAATTTTAAGTATTTAATGCTGAGAAATCGCAATCAGAATAATAATAACAGAAAATATTATAAAGAAGGGAGGGAGAATAAATATTGTTGTTAAATAGCATGGAATAAGTGATAATTGATTAATTTGTATGTAAAGACCATTATAGGTTTCAGAATTTTATGCTCGTCATTCAAATTGTTTATTAATGATCATACCACGTGATTCTGTTGTCCAATAAAATGCACAAACCAGTAAGGCCAAAATTTTAATTTTATCATCTATAGAGAAATTGAAGCAGAAAATTGCACCTATATCAACATCTTGAACACAGTATGAGAAAAAACTTAAAATATCACTTCATGCAATTGTTTATACAGCTACAAATGTCATATGTATCGGAATGTATATATGTATTCACTTGAATGAAAATCGCACCCATATCAATTTCTTGAGCATGGTAAGAGAAATTTTGAAACATCACTTCATACAATTGTTTATTCAGCTACATGCTTCATACATATCGGAAAGTAAGCATATATCCACAATAATTCACCATAGGTTTTTTCTTAAAACGAGACATTTTGGGGTTCAAATTTAAAAAATATATAATTTAACTTATTAAAACATTAGGGGGACAGTAAATTTACTTCATATTATTGATCAAGATGTTAACTCATATCATTTATTCATAAACTGATATTTAGGAAAGTATACGCCTGTGCAGACTTTATACTTGCATTAGGCAGTTTACTCGAAAAAAAGGACATATTGATTTACACGTCGCTCTTCGATTATTTGTTTCAACATATCACTCCAGCGTATCTTTATCTACTCATTTGGTCTTAAGATACAAGTACGAGAAAATAAAAACTATTCTTGTCTCAAATATTTACCATGGAATAGACTGCAAAAAAATCCGTATCAAACTACGGTAAAAAGTACTGGCACTTTGGGTGCATCTTCTTTGAAATCCGTTTTACCGTAAAATCTATTTTTACAGTGAAATATTATAACATAATATTTATTTTTATAGAGTGATTTAGTTATTTTACGATAATTATTTTTGTAAAAATTGTGGCATATCAAATTTTTTGTTTCATAAGATGTTCCGGTAAAAAGTACCGATAGCCAGAGGACCAATACTTCTTTACCATAATTTGATCTAAAATTTCATTGTGTTTGAAAACAGCAAGTTTCCATAATAAAATTTTTAGTTTAAATGACTTTCTCAAAATTCAACAAGATGTAACTTTGGACACTTATAAGTTAATGCCTAAAATAGCTATTGAATTTGAAGTTTCATAATTTGTATTGAAAAAAAACCGCTATATTAAAAAATACCATAAAAATAAATACCCTATATAGTAAAAAAATACCATGCCTACATCTTTGCAGGTTGCAGAAATGCAACTACACAGTTATACTTTGACTTGTTTAAAAAATCATTTTTGTTCAAGAACTTAAGACGAGTTATTTTTCAAAATTCAGTATTGTTCGAAAGTTGTAACAATTTTAATTGCTTTTTTCGCTGTTTTTATTTGAAAACTTATTTTGAAAAAAAAATATTTACGGATTGTTATAGAGAAATTTAATTATAACTCATGCTTAAAAATGCATCGCTTAAAGAATTGTTTGAAAAATCTGATTTATATTTTAATTTGAAACTATTACACGTTTTCCTGAGGTGATTAAAATATACATAAACTTATTTTCAACTCTAAACAGGTGCTATTCAAATGTGGGAAAGATCAATGGTGAGCAGGAAGTATCCCTAGGTGCAGGTTGTTGGTATACAGGAACAGTAGTGCACGAGCTGGGACACGCTCTTGGATTCTACCACGAGCAAAGCAGATCAGACAGAGATGATTATTTGGTCATCTACCTTGAAAACGTTACTCAGGGTAAGTATTAGTTTACTCAATATAACTTTTTTTTAAAAAAATATAATGGCACCACATGTTGCCAGAACTTATTTTTTGAAAACTAGAATTCACTGAACTTTTTGTTTCTATTTATGACATTTGTTGCCATAAACAATTATCGAATGTCAAAAATGAGCAATGATCTAAAAATTCAATGGAATAAAAATAGTAGGAATTTGAACTATCCTGAGTTTAGGAAACTGCCTTTTTCTGTCATTAGATTTTAATATTATCCACAAATTCGTTAACGAAGTGAGCTGCTGACTTAAAGTATAATTTTATTTTTCTGGTGCTTATCAGGCCATCGTAAGAGAATTATTTATTATCATATTTTTTTAAATTCGTCTGCACCTCATTATTAAGCCATCCAGTTCCAAGTACAATTGTTTAAATTTGTAGCATCATTTCAGAATAACTTAGTAACTATGATTGAAATTTTCTGGAAAGAATTTCCTTTCGTTTCCTAAGCAGAAAGCAGCGAACTATACATTTCTTTCTCCTACTGGTCTATCTTCAGACAGTTGGTCAATTGGTCAAAAATAAAGCATTAAACATAAAAATAAAAACGTGAAAGTATATTTTTTAAGAAGAAACAAATTTATCTCATTTAATTTTTTGCTAAATATACACTCTAATGATTGAATGAGAAATAATGTTTTAGTTTTAAGTAATTAATTTTAAATATTTAATTTTAAATGTACTGCTCCAATAGAAATTAATATATATATATATTTGATTGAATTCCATTGATAAAATAGAAGTTAAATTCTTATGAAATAAACGTTCGCACACATGCATGTTTTTAAGCTAAATAATGTTAAAATTTTTGTTATTATTAAAAGACAGGTATTTTTAATAAAACTAATATTAAGACTCAGTGGCGTGACAGCCCATAGAGGGCCAAGGCTTATTGTGCCCATCTCAGTTTTCTTGAACTTGGGCTCTGGGTTGCAGGAGAAGAAGTTCCGGTATGCTTGGTACTCATTTATCGATCCACCAAAGGGATGAAAAGCTATGTCAACCTTACCCGGCCCGAGGATCGAACCCAGGACCTTTGGCACTCAGCCACTGGGTGTCGGCTTTTTATAACAAAAGTTCTAAGTTGAGAAAATTTAGTTTGCGTAAGGGTGAAATGAAAATGAAATGTGCGATAAATTATTTTCAAATATTATTTTCTTTTTTCAAAATACATTTTATTAACATTTTGTGCTTAAATTTGCCTATTGATGTTAAAAATAGTTGTGTAATCCATAAAAGAAACATAATTTGTAAATCTGAAATATTTAATCTGTACCTTGTTACGCAGGCCAGGAATTCAACTTCATGAAGCTTCCTTCGAATCAAAACATCTTATATAATGACTTCGACCACAATTCCGTTATGATATACGGAAACAAATCTTTCTCCAAGAATGGAGAGGACACCATAGTGGCCAAAAATGGACAGACATTGACTGACCCGTTTAATAAGCCAGGATTGGCCCAGAGTGATATCGAAAGAGTCAACAAAATGTACAATTGTTAAGCATCATTACAGAGTCTAAATATTTTGCTAATAATAAAAAAATAATAAGAAATATATTTTTGAGATAATGGTGATTTTGCTGTATAGTTTATCTTTATATACCACATTATTAACACACATAGTTTATCTTTCTAGTTCGAATAAAGTAGAGCCCCGATCTTCCTCGGAATTGGGTAATGCGGCTCCGCGGGGAACACAAATCGCGATTAATTTGAAAGAAGAAAAACAACTCAAAAAATAAGGTGGAAACATGGAAATGTTTTTAAAAATTGTATCTAAACATGTGCATATATTCTAAACATGCTACAGAAATCATTGTTCGACTTTTTAATTCATAAAAAAACGAATGGTAAAGTAAAAAAATTAAAATTAATACAAACAAACTTAATAGGCGTAGTCAAACACAAAAGTGCATTGCTCGACTTCTAACTTACTAAAAACACGAATGGTAAAGTAAAAAATTAAAATTAATACAAACATACTTAATGGAAGTGATCAAACACAAAAGTGCATTGTTCGACTTCTAACTTACTAAAAAAACGAATGGTAAAGTGAAAAATCAAATTTAATACAAACATATTTAATAGAAGTGGTCAAACACAAAAGTGCATTGTTTGACTTCTAACTTACTAAAAAAAACGAATGGTAAAGCGAAAAATCAAATTTAATACAAACATACTTAATAGAAGTGGTCAAACACAAAAGTGCATACATGAAATTATTCAGTGACATTAAAAAAAATCAGCAATCGCTCACATGCAATATAGTTTTCTATTTTTCGCCAATATTCCGCAACGAGAATAACCCAGTTGCAAATAATCGTGGCTCTATTTTATTTCCCAGTAGAACACTGAAGTCAAGCATCAGTGGCTGCCGTGTGTGGTTAGTGAGAATCTTTTGTTTACCACTTTGATTAAACTGCGAACGGAACGATGTTGAGCGGTATCAATCCTCTTTAAACTGATCTACCGTAAAGAGCTCGGACCATCTCGAAAGTCATCGGGCTACCAAAACAAAAGGCCATTTTTTTGCAGAACACCAAAATTGTTATCTGTAACTCAAATGAGATGAAAATAAAATGCTACTACATCGTAGAAAAAAAATACCGAAACGTTACAGAGTATACAGGGTTATTCATAATTCCCTCCACCTGTAAACGCCATTTTTCTTTACTACAACTGGGTTCAGTGGTACATGTTACTGTCATCTATCGGCAACAGCTTAAATTAAAACTTGAATACTTTCGGAATAATTTCTTATGTTCTTTTTTGCCATATTCGTCTTTGTTTTTTTACTATAACGCTTCGAAACCCCGGAGGGAATTATGAATAACCCTGTATAATGCAGCTACGATGCACGTAGTTTTCAAAAACGCTTCTAAATATTTCGGAAATCTCTTTCTGTACTAATCACAAGCATTTTGTAATACTTCAGAAATATTTTGAATCATTTCTTGCAGTTGAGGAAATTTCCTTTTAATATTTTGAAGCCTTTCATACTCTTTTGGAATCCTCTCGTGGGGAACTTACAGAGAATGACAAATGTCATCTATCAAAAGATACTTCAAGGTAGAATCGAGTTAACATGTCTTATAAAATAGTGAATTGGAATTTAATGGTTGCAGCGGTAGCTACGCTACACTTTGAAACTGAATTTGATTCAGTTTCCTACTATTGAAAATAAAGGAAATGCTTCTCAATTGATCGGAGGCATAATATTAAATGAAATTCTCTGAGATTTTCGGAAACATTTTTGTGGAGGCAAAATTAGCTTATGATATTTTTTTACAGTGCACTACTATTTTGAATTAAGGGAATTAAAAAGGTGCATTGTAAATTTTTTTTTTAAATCGGGAAAAATAAGTGATTTTACTTTTTTTTAAACTGCGCATTTCTTAATGTAATTTTCCATACTGCAATTATAATGCAAAAATGAATTCATTAAAATACGCATATTACAATTTAAGACTAAAATATCATGAATGATTTCCAGTTAAACACATAAAATGTCTTCAAAACAAAAACATGTTTCATAAAACTAAATATTTTCACAGTTAAAACAATGATTTGCAAAAGAAAGTGATAACATTCATTCGCAAGAAATAATACAATATAAGGTTTCTCCATCTGTGTAGGACTATCTATTATGACTAGATTATACGACTTTTTCGATTACTACTTTGGGATATTAGCTAAAATTCAAGACAAAATATGTTTAAAGGGCAATTTTCAACAATAACTATTACCTTTGAACTTTTTTTTTAAATCTATATTTTGCTACTTAAAAGTTAGCAATACAAATTGAAGAGTACAATAAAAATACTCATACAATTCTTCACTTCATAAAATAAAAATTGTTTCAGAATAAAAAATAAAATGTTACGAGATTTTCAAAAATGCTTTTGTACGTACTTCATTGGTTAACTAAGAAAAAAATTCATAATCAAAACTAACAGAATGTGGTAAAATTTATCGTATTTATGGGAACGCCAGAAAGCTAATTAATTTTTACCAAAGTACTTTGGTACAAATTGAGATAAAATATAGCTTCATAATTTGCGATAAAATGTAGTATAAAAATCATTTTTTTGGTTAAATTTACTTTCAAGTTTTGTATTTTTTACTAAGTGTGTGATAATAATAGCTATAATTTTGAAAACCAGATTTTCCGGTAAATAATTACCATATGAATGAAATAAAAACAAATTTCCGCAAAATAACTGTCCAAATAGGTAATGACATGTAGTGATTTATATAATTGCTGGCACAGTTATTTCCGAAGTATTAAATGTTTTGAAAGTATCAGCAAAAATAAGCAATATTACTCTGAAATAAAATTGTTCTAAAAAGTAATAATACAAGGTAAAATTAAGAAATTTTACGAACACTAAATAAGTAAGAAATTATAATTTTTTGAGCTAAATATTTTTTATTAACGTCACTCTGAAATTTTATCGAAAAATTTGCTTCTAAGATTTCTATTATCATAAAAGTGAAAGTCAAGTCTAAAACATTTTTGTGAAAAAGCGATTTATAGCGATTTAATTGACACTCATAAAACATTTATTATTGCTCTTTTCAATTTTATTACCTTTTTTTTTAAACATTATACAACTTTATTTGATAGTTTCCATTTGTGTCGCTCTAAACACATACTGTACTTTTTGCTTATGAGATGTAAGTTTTAATGAAAATTAAGTCAAAAGTTTCCTAATATATGGTAACATTATGTATATTTAATATATTCATTAAGAATAATTTTAACACAAAACTCTTTTCTAACACGAATTTATGTAGAAATAATTTGTTCATTAGTGTAACTCTTTTCTCTCCAGAATTTATATTATATATTATATTATTTAAATTAATTGGAGAAGACGATATTTCAAGTTACAAAATCAGACACAAAAACGTACTTTCGGTAACTGAACGTACCTTTTTTCGACGGATTTGGATTTTTAACCCCGAAAATATAGAGAAAAATAACAATTCGGGAAATATGGTCCCCATAGTTTAGCGATAGAGGGATCAAACATTTGCACTTCATAATGGTAATTTTATTTTCTGCGTATTTCACCTTACCTCGAGAACTTTCTCAGAGAATTGAAAATTTTCTGCATGCACTTATAAAATTCGTTTATCCAAAGATTATTCTGCGAAAAAATTTTTTCAGTTAATATTTATTATTCTTTATTATTTTATTTAATAATAGTCGAAAAGTTTTTGAATGATAAGAATTTTTTGAATATTAGATTTTTTGAAATATTCAAGCAAATTCTCTAAAATTTTGTATTTTCTATGAAAATTGCATATTTTAAAATGATGTAAATATTTGCATACCTTATGTTCTTAGTCCTAATATAAAGTGAAACAATAGACATTCTCAATAATTTAAGTAACTGAGGAGATATTGCCCGATTGAGGGCAGCAGGCATAATCCTACCTGCCTATGATTAATCTTTTCCTAACTAGATTCCTTAGTAAGCATTTGAAAACTTGTGAAACAACAACCTAATATGCAGCGCAAAACAGAACACTTAAAATGCCTATTAAAAACATTCGCTACTTGGAACTTCCAGTTTTATTTGATAACATGTTTCTGTTTGAGTCTCTTTTTTAAAATAGTTCTATGCATTTTGCTTATGCGATGAAAGCCATTATGAAAATAAATTCAAAATAGAGCATGGAAACATTTTCCTATGATTCTATTAAGATTGAATGATAAATATAAAAAGTTCTGCTTTAAAATCATTCTTTGAAATAACATTTATTATCAGCCGTATTAACATTTAATATCAGTCAGTAGTTGCTAGAATTTAATAATTGCTATAACAACTTTTAACTTAGCTTACCAATCATATTGATATATTAAATATAATTTGTGCAAGCAACACATTGCGCATAAAGTTGATCGTTTTGTTTTTAATGGCATAACGAATCTCTTTATCTCCAATTTGTATTGTAATTGATGCCACAAAATTACAATTGTAGAACGATTGATAATTTAAGTAAGCTGTTAATAAGACACCGGATAAAAAGTTTATTTTCAAATTTATCGTTATAATGGAGAAAAATTTTTTTAAACTATTACTTTAGAAAATGAACAAAACAAAAAACGTAATAATAGATGAGTAGAACAAGAAAAATAAATTTTACAGATAATAAAGTATAAAAAAATATTTTATAAGGAATCAATACCTCTATGCATTTTATTAATATTTTAATCAAGCTAATTTTACACGAAATATTACTGCACAAATTTTAATATGCCATATTTTCGATACAAACTCATAAAATTTTACGGTAAAGATAGATTTTACGGCAAAATGTACTGGCAACATCAGTGTTGGTATTTTTTACGGTAATTAGATCCGGAATTCTTCACAATACAAACAGTTTACATCATTTTAAGTACAACTACACTCTATGACAAAAAAATCGACACACCAAGAAGAAATCATCCGATTGCTTTGAAATTTCGAATGCATGAATATTTTGAACAGATATGGCAGGAATGATGCCGACTGGGGACGTATAGTCTTCAGCGACGAATCCCGCTTCCAACTGTGTCCTGGCGATCATCGAAGACGTGTTTGGAGAAGCACAGGGCAGAGGGGGATCCTGCCTTCACTATTGCATGAAACACCGACCCTCAACAAGGCATTATGGTCTGGGGTGCCATTTCCTTTGACAGCCGGACCTCTTTGGTCGTCATTAGAGGTAAACTTACTGCACAGCGGTACGTCGACGACATCCTGAAACCTGTTTTGCTACCGTTCCTTTTGCAGCACCCTGGGCTGGTTTTTCAGTAGGAAAATGCCAGACCACATACGGCACGTGTTGCTATGAACTGTCTGCAAGCTTGTCAAACTCTTCCCTCGCCTGCCAGATCACCAGATCTCTCTCCCATCGAGCATGTCTGGGATATGATGGGAAGGCGATTGCATCTGGCACGGAATGTTGATGACCTCGCTCGACAATTGGATAGAATTTGGCAGGAAATACCGCAGGAGACCATCCGGGAGCTTTACCGGTCTATGCCACGCCGTGTGGCAGCTTGTATCTAGGCTAGAGGCGGGACAGCACCTTATTGAACTTGTTACTGTAACTCTGCAATAAATTATTCAATTGTTCTGAAATTTTAATAATTTACTATTCTGTACATTGCCTTCCGATCCACCAATTTTCGTTTCAATCGGACAACTCCTTCTTGGTGCTTCGATTTTTTTGTTATAGAGTGTATTTATGATTTATGGTAAACCTTTTTTTAAAAATTTCCATTTCTTATTTTATTAATTCGTTTTTAAGTTTCTACAACAATATCCTAATCAAGGGTTTATGATAACAATCAAATAAGAGGGACTGGAAAAACTGTCAAAGGCTCTCCAATATCAGATGATTTCGAAGTCGCAGTCATGAAGTGCCCCACAGCGAAGAATATGGGTTCTGTTCATAAGTTGTCTTAAATCACAGAGTGAGAGAAAAAACAAATTCGATGAAGATGCTCGCTCTGTTAATGGTACTTTTCAGTACTTCACTTTTATTGACATCGAACTGGAGCTGCACAATGGGCTACTGGCGACAGTCTGCGAAACATGCAAGAGGATGATCCGGAGACAAAGTACATACGTAACATCCCGTTATACAAGAAGGATAAATTCATACACTCACTTATCCATCCGCAGATCGTAATTTTGACCTGAACCAGAGTACGATCAATTTCCGATCCAGTACCCCCAGAGTTCTTGAGAACTTGAAGGAGCTTGTGACGCAGAAAGGCTTGGCATGAACTAGTCATCAATTTGCACTCGGGGATTCTTCGGTTACGTGGGGATCAAACTCACGAACTTCGCCCAGATAATCACGCCTTATTAGAAGAATATATCAGAAGTATAGACATTTCGCAGTCAAAAAGTTTCCGGGATACTCCAGTTGGGGGAAGCTCTAGATTGTATCCCCAATAGGGTAACTATTTTAAGGAAAATTATTATAAAAACGAAAAGCTCCAACTTTCAGCCAAATATTCATCTTAGAATGGAAACGATTAAAAATTGTAATTAATTTTAGAGGTATGCTCGAAACTTCCTTTTCATTATTTTAAATGCACTTGTTTACAGCAATGCCAGACTGCAACATTGAAAAAAAGCTCAAATTTACTTGGTTTTGGGGTTATATGCACAATTATCTGCTGATACCTATATCTTAGCAATATTTTTATTTCCAATTATAAAATTTAAAATGCTCAAAGATGTCCCTCCTTTTTCAACATCAAATCAGTAGCCTAGTAGCCGTAGTTTCATTTCCCAGTATCCGTAAAATTTTTGAAAACAAGAGATAAAAGTCAGTGGATTTTGAATAAGAGTGATAAAATTAACTCAATAAATATAATTAACTGAAATTGGTAAAAAAGTTGTGTGCAACGAGTACGATTATGTTACATAAGCAGATTCACCCAGTGACGAAGATTTGTACAGTAATATAAAATATTGTAATTAAAATTATATTCTATCTCAATCTATTTATTTTACAGTGAATATGATGATTTGATCCAAAATTTATTGCTTAAAATATTTTGCTTAAGAACTTCTGGTGATGTAATGCCTAAGATCATTTTTTGATTAAAACTATGCAAATTTCATTACTTTATAATTTTATGACTTTTTTCAAATATTCAGTTTTACATCAATGTGTTTTTGCTAGTGTTAAATTTCCTTGTTTTTGCAAAATGATGCAAAATGTATTGTTCTGAAAAACTTTCAAAAAAATGTCTTACTCTAAGTTATGAAATTAGTATTATTAACTGAGTTTTTTCTACTTTGAGAGCTGCTAAATAATATTAATATTTTTTTAGAATGAATCATAAAACACTCGCCTTTTTCTTTAAGGAAGAGACAAGCTTGAAGTCCTCAATGAATAAGTTTCTGAAAGTTGAGAATCTCATATTTCTTACTCAGTTACCCAGTAGGAGCCTTAATACACACTAGAAAGTAAGACTTTATGTATGATTTAAGTTACAAGACATATACATCAACTTCAAAATAGTTTTATCTATATACCATATGTATATCAATTATATATTACCCAATATACTACTTATAACAGTTTAATTCAAGCACCCAATTTCACATCGTGTGTTTTTTAGAAAGTACAAATCTTTTTTATTCATTATACCCAGTATTTTTTCTCCGAATTCATAGTTTCGAAAGTCTCTGAGAGTATTGGATTCTCTCTTCACAATTGTTTTTGAATATATCAAATATTTAAATAAATTTCGTTAAATCTAAATTAGATTTTCATTTTTTTAGTAATGTATAAATTAGTAATGTATAAATAACTGTTCCTGCATTAAAAGAAGCTTTCCTTTCTTTGGAGCTTGCTGCTAGGGATATGGGACTAATCATCAATACCGATAAGACCAAATACATGCCTGTACTTGCTAAATTAAATTCTAGTGAATCCTATCTGGAGATTGGTTCCCACAGGTTTCAGACTGTTCAGAACTTTACTTACCTTGGTTCAATAGTTACTGCCGACAATAACATAGGCAATGAGATTCGGAGTCGTCTAATTTGTTCAAATAAAGCTTTTTATGGTTTAAAACGCTTTTTCAAATCCTCTCTTTTATCAAAAAATACAAAACTTTTACTCTATAAAACATTAGTTAGGCCAATACTTAACTATGGCTCTAAGACCTGGAACCTAACTCAAGCTGGTGAAAATAAAATTGCCATTTTTGAGAGAAAAGTTTTGAGGGCCATCTTTGGTAGGATAAAAATAAATAATTCCTGGAGAAGACGATATAATACTGAACTGTATAAAATCTACAGAGAGCCAGATATTGTGATATTCATTAAAATAAATCGAATGAACTGGGCAGTTCACATTTTCAGAAGGAATGATAACTCAAATTTAAAGAAAATCCTATTTCACAAACCCCTAACGAACAGGAAAAGAGGTAGACCCAGGCTGAGATGGCTGGATTTAGTTGAGACTGATTTCCTTACTCTAAAGGAGAAAAACTGGCGAACAAGTGTCAAAAGTAGAGAGAAGAGGATTCGAATTCAAAGGAAGGCACTGGCCCACCCTGGGCTGTCTAGCCAGATATGATGATAATGATAAATTAGTATAAATTACGCTGTTTTTAATAAATTAAAGACTAATAAAAAAACCGACAATTTTTGTCGAAAAGTATGAACCGTAATCTTTACTTTTTTTTATGGTTTCTTTTTTCGTTTGAATGATGGAATTTTCATTCTTTTTTATGGAACATTTGATACTATACGTTTTTAGTCAACCTTTTTTTTTATTTAATTTAAAAAGTTCTGCAATCTTTGTAACAGATTCAACTTACTATGTGAAAAAAGTAATTTACTGCAAAATAAATAATAAGTAATGCAAAATTGAAGCCATTTGTGAGTAAAGTATGCTCTTAAATTCATAAGTTTTCAATAATAGGTAAAATAGTTTTCCTATTTAGCACAAATCTTTAAAAAAAATGTAAAATTTCAAAATTATTTCTGTAACGAAAACTTCTAAAGTCTTCAATTTGCTTTACATTGAAATACGTTTGACGCTGCTTTAAAAATAAACGTTTCTTAAAAACAAATCTTGCGTGATATTTAAGAAATATTTAAATCAGAAACATTTTTATCAGGAATAATTTAAGTACCTTTCACGGGAATCGGATATTTTTTAAGTTAGAACATTACGGTAAGAATCACGGTTTTTTAAAAACTTATTTTGAACCTTATTTTGAACCTCATTTTTATCTCATACAAATCGGAACATCGGAACATCATATAGCAATCATTAATAAAATTATTATCTGAGTATTTCAAATATGCAAAAATAATAAAATGTTACACAGTCTATTTCATTTCATTCAAAATTTAAAAGGTTTATTTGCATATCCTGTTCTCAATTTGATAAACAAAGATCTTTGATCGCGCAGTTCTTTAATCTTCAGCAGCAGGTATTTCACATGACATTTAATATTAATTTTGATAAGGAGGCATTTAAAAGCAGCTTACAAAATCTTGCAAGCTTATCGTTTCATTCCCACTTCTTCAAACTATAACCATGAAGACTGGTCTGTTTCTTGCTGGTTTGTTGGCTGTTGCTTTGGCTGAAGTAATTCAGCTAAGTCCTCAGCAACAAGAAGGTAATTTCTTTCTTTAATATTAACTTTATATTTGTTTTTCTTTATAACTTTACAAAGTTCTTTTCCTTATGTAAAATACATAGAGCAACAATGAGTTCCTCTTAAAGTATGGAAAAAATTTGTATAGGCGTTTTCTTTTCTTTAAAAAAACAACTTAAAATTAAGTTTAAGATTAAATCAAAAAACAATTGCTGTAAAACAGTTTGTTGTTCCAAACCTAAATCATTCTGCATTTCAAAAATATCGTAAAACGATTTCTAAAATCTATTTCCTTATGATCGCTAAAACACAGAGTTTTGCCCTTTTTTAAAATGTTGTTATTAAAAAAAATAAAGAAACATTTACCCTACAAGCTGTTATTCTAAATAAAAATTTTTTAAATTTGCGTGATATTACAATAATAAGTATAAAAAAAAATCTTTTCTTCGGATATGCATAAAAATTGATTTTGTTTTCTATCTTCTGCCAATAAAAACAATATGAACATTATTTGGACTGCATCATAACTTTAAAACTTCATATAAAAATGCATTGAAACTTTTTTCAAAGAACACTATTACGTTATTAAGGGTAACACTGTAAAAAAGTAAAGCATTCATGCAACAGCCCGTTCGGGGTGAGGGGGTCATGGAAGTTAAGGCTTTACGATTTTGTGACCAACAAAATGATTGTGGCAATGTGGTCAGTATTACATACAGGCAGTCTTTACTTCATTGACAAGCTGGTACCCATACATCTGTAGCTGGGTGAGCTTTGAGCCGCCACTGAGGATCGAACTCCAGTTCTTCACAACGACAGTTTAGTGCTTTAACCACTGAACTATTACTTTTAGTACCTTAACCACTGAGCCTGTACCGTATTTAGTACTATTAGATTCTAAGGAACATTGTTAGAATTTTAATTTTAGCGCAGATTTTGTATAGAAATTCATTTCAAATCATAGTTTATCTAAAGTATGAAGATTGTTTTTTTAATTTTAAAGCAAAACTATTTGACACAAATCTAAATGACTTCAAGGGGAAACAGGACTTTTGTAAAAATAAATTTAAATAAATTGAAAAAAAAATTTTTATCAAAAGGAAGCAACAGTTTTTTAAAAATTTTGAACACTAACAATGATTTGAATTTCAGCTAATTGAAATTTATAATTTTAACTTCTTTTAAGTTCTTAACTAATAATAATATTTTTTACTTCTGTTTTTAAATATCCTCAATTGATTTATTGGCTTGTACTGGTGGAAAAATAATCTAGCCAGACCCATATTCTAGATTGAAATCATCGTAATCTTGTAGTACGATCATCATTTACTCCAACCATGTTTATCATGGTTTGCATCATATTTCTTTGTGTAGATAAATAATATTAGTAAATAAATTTTTTAAACATATTTAACAATAATGGATTTAAAAGTGCCTTACTTTTATATGAACAAAGAAATCTCTAACATATTAATAATTATTATTCATAAAAGATACAAATTGATTAATTATATTTTTTTAAAAGCGTATTGGTTAATCACAAAAATTTTATAGGATTTGAAATACGTAAAAAATTATTAATTGCTTCATTGTTGAAAAAATTTTTGGTAAAACTAAAAGTTAATAATAAGGGAAGTATTATAAATTTTCTCTACAGAGAAGTTTAACACTTTTATCTTGTTATCGGGCTTAAATTGTATTAAATTAACAGAGGCTTAATACTTTTTAACTATTAGTTTTTGAACTGAAAAAAAGTAATAGCCAAGTTAATTATATTGTCCGAAATTTCGAATAATTAATAATTCACCATAAAATGAATTCATAATAAAAAATAACTCTTTAGTGCGTTTTCCAAAATGTATTTTGCACTCAACGATTTTAATATTTTTTTACACAATTGCTGCAATTCCATTTTAGGTACAAAAAGAATTTTGAAGATATTTTGAAATTGTCCAAGGAAATTGAGCCAAATGTTTGGGAGCTATGCATGCTTGATTAATTGCTTTTTTCAGAACGATAGGTTAAAAATTTGACTAAAATTGCTGAGTTTGGCGAATGACTACAATTGCGAGCTTATTGGGATAAAACTGAAATTTGATTAAATACTATGATAAAGGGATAAAAATACAATAAATTGATTCTTAAAAAAATATTCTTTTTAACTATTGTAATGTATCGAGGGAAATTTACGTAAAATGGTTTAATGTACAAAAAATGCATAGTGAAAGCAGATAAAGAAACTTGCTTACAGTAACTTAACTAGCTTACATGTAACGAAACTTGCTTACTTTAAATATCTAGTGACTAAAATTTTTAATTTTTTCTTTTAGAGGCTAGATTGGCTATGCAAAACCCTGACTTGTACGATGGAGACATGGCTGGTATTGACGGACCTTTTGTAAGTATATATTTTTTTTGTGCAAAGCACAAGTTTCCCTAAATTATCACTGTTTTATAATTATATTAATGATATCATAGTTATGTTTTAAAAATAACTAAAAATTATAGTGATGAGTTTGCTATTTGTACAAAACTATTTTTTACATCTGTCTTACGTTTCGATGTATCAAAAAAACGAAAGAAAAAAATACTGAGAAAAAGTAAAAAAAAAGTTACTTAAAAATTATATCTAGTGTATATAAAACTATTTAAACCCCCACCAAATTACAATTTTGCTCAAGATCTTGACGCTTGTAGAATTTGAACAAAGTACATTGCTTGGTGAACTTATAATTTTTGAAATGAAAAAGAGATCATTGAAACCCATAAATAAAAATAATAAAAAATTTGATCACCCATACACAATATTTCGTTTTAGCTAAAAACCTCTTTAATGTCAAATATATAACTTACTGTATTATTTCAAATAAATAATCTAGATAAATAAGTATTCGTAATACTGAATAATTATTGATTCATGTTCAGTTAACCATGGAGGGTTAGATTTATATATGGTTAAAATCTTCTCTTTTATTTGCAACGACAATTTGATGGTTTTACGAATTCGAATTCAAAAACAATAGTCTATAATGTTTATTAAAAAATAATATATACGTATTTTGAAAAATTGATATGAAACGTTATATAGTTAAATGCCACGTTCACTATAGGTAAATTCTGAAAATTGCATGGTCTTATGACAACTGTAAAAATAGTTTTTATCATTAGCTATACTACATTTAGAGATAATATAATATTGCAGTAAGAAATATTTAAAGTATAACCATACTTGAGAGTAAAATATTTAGAATTATTATTACATTTTGAGATTTTAAAAATAAAGTTAAAATTTGTGCTTCAATTTCCTTTATTGTCATAATATGCATAGCCTATGAATTTGAAAATGATTACTAAAATAAGAAAATTTCAAAAACAAAATTTATATCTAATTTACAACAAATTCGCTGCACGAAATACGTAAAATAAGCCTTGTTATCTGCAGAAAATAAGCAATACTAGCTCATTTTAAATTAGTTTATGTTTATCGCCAAAATTATTTTTTTCTAGGATGCTGAACGTAATGCAATTGTTGGAAATCACTACAGGTGGCCAAATGCACGTGTACCCTACGTCATTGACTCTTCTTTGAGTAAGAATACAATTTTTAACTGAGGATAGTGTTTTAATTGAATTTAACTAGTTGACATTGTAACTGAATTTTTCCTATTTTTATATTTTAGTAGCAAAGTTTTTTACGAGAATTAGTTATAAATTATGAAGAGCATGGCATTTGTATAACACAAAATATTGTAGAGATTAAACAGAGTCGAAGATTCTTTATTAGAAAATTTTTAAAACTTCGTAAAATTAATACATTTATGTGTATAATGAATTTATTAATAAAACTTATTGAGATGATTAAAAGTAATCATATCCAAAATATGTACTCTAATTGTCCCCAAAACATCTCTGAATATCTTTATGTATAATATAATATCAAAATATAAGAAAAAAAGAGTACCCTTAAAATATACTTATGAAAACTCTGTACACCATAGATTAAAATATTTTCAGCAAAAAAGAAATAATAATAATCATAAACTCTTTCATTTTAGAAGTGTTAAACAAATGCAGATTATCATATGATATATAAAAACTGCTTAGTAATATCAAGTTTGATGAAGCTGCTGTTAGTAAGTTTTTCCAAAAAGAAGAAAACTTTGCTGCACAAATCGTAATATTTTGTAGGATATTCCACTGATTTATACTCAAATCATAGTGTTGTTTTTAATGAAAGAAGAATACGATTTTTCAACTTTGTCAATCTTGACAACTCTTTGTCCTGCCTCTATAAATGTGCTGTCCTAAAGTTAGTTCTAGAAATATAATTGTCTCTAAGAATAAGAGAAAATTAGTTCGAGAATCAGATTTAGAATTATAATATTTTAACTTTATCAGATCTTTGTCCCATCAACTACAACTCTTTGTCCTATCTCGTAAAATGTGTTGTCTTAAAATTAGCTCTATTTCGAATTGGAATATTTTTCTGTTTAAAAATATTCTGTTTTAATAACAATATTTTTTAACTCTTTACGATTTATAACTCTTTTGTAACTTTTTTAAAAATAACTAAAGTAATTAAATAACATTATATATTTTTATTTCAAGATCTCACCCCGTATTTATGCAATGGAAATTTCTTTCGAAGTGTAGCATTCCTGCGTGCCTTGTTAGAGCTTCAGATATTGCGTATGATTCCTTCTAAGAGTAGAATTATCATAGAATTGTAGATCTTAATTTCAAAAGCGAGTAGTAATACAAATTTTTAGTAAAAATAAATAGTATTTGGATAGTTTAGAATCTTTACTCTTCTTTACTGCTCCGTCTTGTAACTTTTTCTCTTTAACACTTTAAAAAAAACATTAAAAAACGGATTTTTCATAGTTTTTATTTTATTTTTTCACTTCTAAAGGCAATGCACAGAATGTCATCAACCAAGGCTTTAATGATTACCACAGAAACACTTGCGTCCGATTCGTTCCAAGGTCAAACGAACAAAACTACATCAAGATCTTTTCTGGACAAGGGTAAGAATAGTTTTAATTGATTTCCGTAATAAAAAAGTACTTTTCTACAGAAAAGTAATAACTTGTATGACTTGATTTGAGGAACGAATTGAGATATCACGTCTTAGAAGAGTTTTTAAAGCTGCTAAACATCATTAATTAATCAATTGGTTTTAAAAATCACTACATATTATTCAACTTCATAGTTAAACATTTTTAGTAAACTTTGACTTTTGAAACTTTATGAATTATTTGCAGTCATAGTAAATTGTTCCGCTGAACCATTCTATCAAGTAAATTGTACATTATTACATTATTCCTGATCAAATTACACTTAAATGCATCCATTTTTACCATAATTTTTTTAACCTTTATTTTAGAGTAATTCTTATTTAATCACAGAGATAACAGTGATTTCGCAGTAACTATTAATGTAAAAATTATGGTATATCAGATTTTTTTGCCATAAAACACAGTTAAAAAAGGAATTCACGGTAATAAGTACTGACACCCTAAGTCTCTTTACTTTTTACGGTAATTTGATTCTGAAATTTTTACTGTGGGGTTCAAGTTTTTAGTAAAGGTTCAAAATTTTTTAGTAAAGGTTCAATATAATTGGGATAAAAGTACCAATAATGCGGTTTAAGTCGGAACTGCATTAAGTGAATCATTGTCTAAAGTTTTCAAAGCGAATGCTGATATTGAAAATCTTTTCAATAATATGTCCTCAACAATTTGTATGTTTAAGCTTACAGCTCAAGTTTTACCACAAATTCCGAAACTTAAAATATCCTTAAGCTAATTTTAGTATTCAAAAATAAAATTCCCCATCTAATTTAAGACATAAAAGCAAAAAAAGTCTCCTTTTTAATTGTTTTAGTCCCTGATGAAAACATAAACCTCTTTTGGATTTTATCTGGCAAACAAACTCCTTTTTATCATTTTCATTTTCCTGTGCTTAATATTGGAAATGATTAGATATGAGTAAGGGATTCTGTGTACGCATTTAAATATTTCTAAGGACTTTATTTATATCTATACCCCGAACAAAGAATGGTTAAAGAATGAAAAATACTTACACTTAAATTTGTGGTCTATACCGCACATGTTAAATGTGTGCACCTTTGGTCACACAGAACACATTCTAATGGAATTCATGCTTTGTTCCTTAGCATGTTTAAATCAATATACCCCAGAACAGCAGTGAGACATTCCTTTGGAATTCTTGTCATTGGGATTAATTTGGAAAGACAAAACATACATATTTCTTAAAGACAAAATTTATGCACCCTTAATGCCAACAATGCTGAAAATGCATGACCACTACTGGGGCACATATTTTCATAAATAAATGCCACTTTACGTATGAATGGAACTAGTTTACCATTGAGATGTGGGACTGCATGCCTTGGGAAGGATACACACAATGGACATTCGAATCTTAATAATTTTATATTCCACCTTCCTTTGTTTGTCATACACTTGTAAATAAACAGTTCATTGAAACTGAATGAATAAATTAGGATAATAAATTAGGATAATTAGGATAATGAAATTTCCATATGTAATTTAAAAAGGTGCTATTCCTATGTGGGAAAAATCAATGGTGAACAAGCTGTATCTCTTGGAAATGGATGCTTGTACGCAGGAACCGTAGTCCACGAGTTGGGACACGCCCTTGGATTCTACCACGAACAGAGCAGATCAGACAGAGATTCATATTTGATCATCTACCTTGAAAACGTCGCCGAAAGTGAGTATTTCTCATGTTTTTATTATTCTCTGACAATTGTTTTTTTACCATATGACCATTTTTTTACCGTACCATTTTCCATTTATTTTACAGTATGATTTTTTTACCATACGTTTAATGAAACACTTACTTTTTTACGCAACATAATAAGCGTGATAAAAACATTTCATAATTTAGGGAAAAAATTATATAAAATGAATTTTTGTTACTCCTTAAAATATAAGCGAAAGAGAAGTTGGTTTAAGAATAAATGCAGATATTTAAAAAAATCACAAACTATCAAATCGTTATTCCAAAATTTTTAATAGGATCAGAGCGTAGAGCGCACGCCCCCCAATGAGGTAGACTGGATTTTAATACCTATGATGGCTGGTTGATGCAAATTCTGTACCTAGCTTGCACCAAATACAGTGCTGACGTAATACATCATTAGTGGTGTACGGATTAAGGGTTAGAGAAGCCTTAATGCCAAGCTAACCGTGAGAAGTTTTCGAATTATGTAACGCATATGTGGATTAGTTCTATACAAAATGTTCTAAACAAGCTTAAATTTTTCCCAATACTTGATTTTGGAGATCCCTTTTTCTCTATTAGTCGTAAACTGAAAATTGGGTCAGTAGTTTAGCGACGGTTATAAAATAAACTATTTTCTATACATTGCTACTTTTTAATTTAAGCCGTTATATTGTAAATAAGTTTTTCTGATTGAAATGCACAATAATTATTCATGCATTTTTATTATAAAACCGAAAATGCTTTGAATGAGCTTATAAATAATATTTAACTACCTTAATGAATAAAATTATCTAACCTTAAAACATTAGAAAGAAAAATGCGTAATGTATATAATTTTGCAATTTCATACATTTCAGTATAGCAATAAATCTAATAATGTTTTCTTTTACTCTATTGCATAGACATGAGATTTAACTTCAACAAGCTTTCACCCCACCAAAATGTCTTGTACAATACTTTTGACTACAACTCCATCATGATTTACGGCAACAAATCTTTCTCCACAAACGGAAAAGACACCATGGTGGCCAGAAATGGACAGAAATTGTCTGACCCTTACAACAAGCAAGGAATGACCAGAAATGATATCGAAAGAGTCAACAAAATGTACAATTGTTAAGAAACTTTACAATTGCTTCAATACTGTGACTAATAAATTATAAAGGGAATGATTTATTTTATTTTGTTTTATTTTTAAAATATATTATTCCATTTTTCAGAAATTAATTTTAATAATGCTGAATGATTAAGAGTAAAGTTGGGAAGGAAGTTTAAACTAAGAATGTTATAGATAATTCGAAATTTACAATCCAATGTCACTTTTACAGATATCTTAAATGGGGAATTAAATAACTTTCTATAATTCTATAAAGAATTTGTTTTACATAGTACGTGATTTAAATATTTAAATTCAGTATATGCATAAATACATAATTTACGACCATATGCTGAGAACATAGGCGTTTTTGTTTAAACATCTATGACATGTTTTACATGTATGAGATATTTTTATTTAAACAATATTTTGACAAAATTTTTCATAAGCAATTTGATGTTAGGACAATTAAAAAACGAACTTCCAAGAATTACAACTGTTACGAATTCTTGGAATTTTTATTTTACATTACAGTTGTAGATTTTAGATTCAAAAATTATGTTTGACTTTTAATGAATAAGTAGAAGTTTTTCTTTTGAAATCATAAAATAAAGGATTCAGCGAAGATTATATCTATATTTTTGTTATAGACTAATTAATAGACTAATAAGTCTTACTAAAACAATAAGTTGTAAACAATTTTAATTTCTATTAGGAGTTTTTTTCTTATTATTATTATTTTTATTTCTTCTTCTTATGAATCTTATGATAGTTATTTATAGTTATTTTTAGTAATTTTATTTGCATTTTTCCTTGAAAATTAACTATTATTATTATGTGCATTCTTTTTAGACATTTAAAGGTAACTTTCTCATTTAATTTGTAGTAACTTAATACAATTTTTTAAACTTTATACTTAAACAGAACTGTTAAAACTCAAATGAAACAGTTAAAATGGAAAATCATGTGGAAATGGAAATTCATTCATTTTCAGAGGAAGCGAATAAAATGATAATAAATAATATGTCTCTAGTCAATGATCAAAGTATAATAGTTTAGAAGCTTATTTATAACAAAAAGTACAAGGCAAATAATTTTGAAATTGAAAGCTCTTTGGTCAAAGCATATTTAATAAAAAAAAATGACGCAGCTAGACTGCATTAATCTCCAAGCAACGAAATATTGTAACTATATGATACTAAAAGGAATTAATTAATTTGTATAGAGGACAAAAAATGTTGATATTTTATAAATCATCACTCTTTTTCTTTAAAGAAAACAAATACTAGGATGTAGACCTCTCTTCTCGCTGTCAATCACCAACACCGAATAATCGTCTCGTAATTAATTTTTATTACAAAATTCATGAAACTCTCTATAATACAAAAATTTATTTATAATTTTATATAAATTAATATAAAATATTCAATAAAAATTTCTAAATAACTCTAAGTGTAATACATTGAAGAGTACATGCTTTCTGTTCCCCTATCTTTAAGAATCACTCAACAAATGTAAGTTTTTATAAAATGAATTTGTTTTACATCGGCTTGTGTCTCTTAATGAAATTTATATAGCTTCAATTTAACTAAAATTATCAAATTTATCATAATTTTTATTAAATATTTTATTTTAAAGAGTAATTTCGCATAAGCAATAGTTTTAAATTATAAAATCTTCAAAAATATAAATAAATAAAACGTAATGGTTTTTACTAATTTGTAGGAAATGAGTCTCCTTTACAAAAACACGTGTGGTAGTTCCCTTTTAATTGAATTCATTTGACTTTCTTTATAGTGCTTCGATCCTTATTAGTAATTAAAACTCAGTTTAAGGGGTCAAAAACTTAGAAACTAAAATTTTAAATTTCTTGAATAATTGCCTCATAATAAAATATTGAAAATCACCAAAATTAAAAAAAAAGAAAGAAAAAAAACAAGTCATATCTGCACTACTAGATACGTTTCTTACATTTCACAAAACTTCTCTGAATACACCATTTCTTATTGTAAAATTTATTTGAAAATTACCAGAATGTAAAAAATAATAAAAGATATAACATTGATTTTTTTTGTACATTTCCCACAACTTCTGTTAATAGATAACTTTTATTGTTGCCACTTTCTTCGTGTCATTACATGAATCCATTTTTTAAATTTTTATATCTGATTTGCTTCGACATCAATATAAGGCAACATGTGTACGTGTTTAAAATCGGACAAATTTTATCAATAAAAAGACCAACTCTGCTAAACACTTAGACTTGTGATTAGTTTTTGTCATCGCAGTGGCCAGTTAATCGAGTACAAATGCAGATAAGTCAGCAATGGTTTAATACAGAAATAAATTCGATAAATAATGTCACAATCATTTGAAATTTGAATAAAAAATAGAACACAAATTGAAAATGATTTTTTTTCCCTCATATTCACATTTTGTGTTATTTTCGTGAACACAGAGGGAGCTAGTGACACATAAAAACACTTAAAATTACTAACGCTTATAGCTAGTTACAAATAAAATTTTATAATATAACAAATAAACAGTTATGAATACTTATCATGTGTCACAAACTCAAAAGAATATTATTAATAGGATCCTTTTTTCATTTCATTTATTTATTTTTATTTTGCGTACCGAACTCATCTTCTAAAAACATTCCTATACATCTTTCCTAAGCATGCATATATATATATATTCTTTCATTTTAGAAGTG